TAAGGGATGGGTAACAAAAATTCAGTTCCAAAGAAGGCTCTCAAGAGAACAGATGCATCATCCACCATTCCACCAGACAGCCCTCTGGTTATGGTTTAAAAAGGTTTTTTGGAGAGTGCACTCTAATTCTGTGTGTGTGTGTGTGTGTGTGTGTGAATTTGTTTACAGCACTGGGCAAAATTTAATTTACTCCTGGAATTTCAGCTCATCTTATGCACACTTAAGTTGACCTTTTTTTCCTGGCACGCTTAATTTATAAAACTTTTATGTATGTGCATGTAAGCATCTTCAAAATGGTTCTTAAACTGATGTTATAAGGTTAATGTGATATTGAAAGTAACCAAAAAAACAGGGTGCTTTATTTTAAAAATCTGTTATAAACTGCTTTTACATATGAATATGTAAATATCTTGAGGATGGTTCTTATTAGAGTCAATATACAAAATTGTTACTCTGTTCTATAGCTACTTTTAAGAAAAGCAGTTTTCAAACTTATTTCAATCAGGTCTCTCTAGGATACAGGCATTCAGGGGTTAACAATGGCTTAGCCCAGAGGGGAGAGGAAAGAAAAGGAGGGGCGGGGAGCACAGCCTACAGCAGGAATCTTAATTTGGGTAGTTAAAAAATGACCTTAGCTTGTTTCATTCTGTCACAAATAAAATCTGGGATTTAATTCTCTCTTATACATGGGTCTATTAACAAATGGGCTTTCTATAAATTGTTTTTATACAAAAATAATTTTAAGGTTGCTTTCTTTCTGGGGTTTTTTTTTTCTCCATGCAAATATAAGGCTCTAAGTTAAAAGGGTTTATGAGTTATTTTCAACAAGTAATAAAAATATATGTAAGGTATTAAGGATATGTTTTTTAAAAAATAAAAGGTTAAAAAAATACTTACAAGCTCCCCCCAGAAAATACAAAATAAGTTGTCATAAAGGTACAAAGTTAAGTTGTCATAAAAAAAAAAAAAGGAACTTATAAATGCTTATGTAAGTGATTAAGATGACTAAAATCCAGTTACATTAAAGGTTTTGTAAGGTCAAAATTTAATGTACTGATATTAAACTAAAACTTAATTCTCTAAGTTCATAACAAGGCTATCTTAAAAATATTATATTGTTCTTGATAACATTTACAAAAACAAACTGTCTTAAAAATGGTTTTTGTTTTGTCAAGATAACTGTCAGGAATTTTTGGTGCTACAGGTTAATCTACAAATTTATCAAGACAACAAGAGTTTATTAAAACACAGGGAGGCAAGAGACAGCTGAGCACAGGGAGTGCTGCTGCAACGATATGAGGGTTAAGACAGATTTACTTATGTAAAGCAAAGTTAAAAAAAAAAAAAAAAACTCAAAAAGAAACACTACACTGGAGTTTAAGACCTCCAGTTTTTATTGAAGTCAACAGAGTAGAGATGTTAGTCCTACTCCTTCCACATGTCAGGTGGAGGGAATTTTTGCCCTGGGATGGCCATATTGGGCCTGTTATTTCAGGTGGGCTCCATTGACTACAGGTTGGTGTCATGAGCCATCTGTTAATGTCAACAATCTGGGATGTGATCCCTTATTAACATCTGAGCCATGACTCTTGGCCATTAGGTTTCCTAACTCTACACATAGTCCCCATAAATACTTACCTGTGTTCTCTGGTGATTTTTGTCAGGGTTATGACTAAGGTAACTGAATCATAACTAAATAAAAGTTCATTTAAGAGTTGATTTTTGTAAAATTTTCTAAATGACCGCATGGTTAAACAACTGTTGTCTTGGGTGATTCTAATGAAGTCAGTACTCTATATGTGTCTGTGACTGGGCTATTTGGGGTTACTGACACTGTTCCCCCCTTCCCCCAACTAATGAGAAAATCTAAGGTTTTACTTCAAGAGCAATAACTAAACTAAAATAACTCTCTATAGAGTTGTGATGCTGTTGCTGGTTCCTGTATTCTAAATATATTTATGTTTTTAAGTATATCAAGCCTTCTAAAATACAAAATTTAGATAAACACAGTAACAAAAGGTTAATGGTACCAATATACTGTCCTGTTAATTGCTAAATTGTCCACCAAAATTTTAACTGTGGCTCTTTTAAGTTTCTGTCATTGTAGTTCTGATCCTTCTGGGGCATTTATAATCCAGTCCATAAAAAATGACTCTAATAAGTACTTACGTGTCAACCAGGTTCACCAAAACCAACCAAACAAAATCCACAAAAAGCAAATCCTCATGATGAGGAAAAAAATGACCAATAGAGAAAGATCTTCAGTCTACAGCCATACCACCCTGAACATGCCAATCTCATCTGATCTCAGAAGCTATGCAGGATCAGGTTCTAGTTAGTACTTGGATGGGAGAAAGATCTTCAGAAGATACTTCTCAGAGATAAGCAGATTGGAGACAAGGGGAGAATGCCATCAAAGTTCAAATGGAGAGTCACTCGTGCCCAGATCTCTCAAATATAACCAAAGCCGAGAGGATTAAGGAAATGGTTCTTAAACATGTGTGGCTATCTGGCATTAAAGCCCTTCCAGACACAAACTCCTAGTTTTTAGATGGGTTTTCTACTTAAATAGACAAAATGACAATTTTTACTGGCTCTAAACATGTCCTTTGATACTTAAAGATGGTTTAACTTTTTTTAAAACAACACGTTTTCTTGGACATATATACTGATAAAATATTATTGCCAAGGTAATTCTACTCAGTTAAAAAAAAAAAAACCAAAAAAGATAGTGTCTGGGTAAAAGAATAAGATGTTCAATCATTAAAACCCCATTGAAGGGGCCCTTTTGTTGTTATCTTGTCTTTATCCCCACTGCAACAGGACAACAGCCCTCCCTGCTCTAGTCACTCTGGAAGCTGACTACTCTACATACTGCGGAAGCTCAAACATGGGAAGCACCCCTGCTCTCCTCTACACATTTGGACTCTGACCTTTTGTGTTGGCTCTTGTAAGGTTCCCCCATATGCTAAATGTTAAAAGAGAGCCCTTGTTGGGACCTCTGCGAAGGCATACTTTGTATCATGCACCCACCACAGGTCGGTGTTACATAGGCTTATATACTCCCCAGATTTGTGAGGTTGGGGATAAGCGACACTAAAACTCCCAGAGAAAAAAAAAATACAGGCTACCTTTTTCATGGAAAGCTGGACCATGGATCTTGTCTTGGGAGCATGTTTGATGTTACCCTGCCTGGTTCCCTTGGTATTGCGGTCCATCAGGACCACTGGAGAGACCACTATAAAAACAGCCGCCAATGTAATGATGCTACAGAAATACAAACCCCTAAATCAAGATGATGCTCTTTGACCATAGGTGGGTCTGAGCATCAAATGGCGGAATATTGTAGCAGGGAGGAGGCTTCCCCCGCAAAAAAAAAAAAAAAACAAGTCTGTGTTCTGATAATGTAGCAGGGAGGTGGAGATGGTATAGCAGGGAGATAAAAATCTAAACGTGAAGGTCACATAGCTCTGGGGTGAAGTAGCCAATAGAGTTACATCAACAATACATGGGTTAAACCTTGCTTTTTGCTTCGGTAACCTACTTACAAGGGTATATAAGCTGAGTCTCCTTTGTTCTTGGGGCTCAGCCTTTGGATTTAAATCTGCTGAGCCACTGCCAGCATGCTAATAAATACTGCTTCCTGAAAAGCCTTGGTATCCCGTGTCTCTGTTTGAGATTCCCGCAATAGTAGCTACCAGCGGGTAGTAACAAGTCGTTGCACTTTCTATATTATATACTGCAGAGTTGCTTGAATTCATTAGAACGTGCATTGTTTTTTTGAGTCTAAGCCCAACAGTACAGCCCAGGCTGCAGAAAGCCATCATACATGCATGAAAAAGAGGGGGAGTGCACGTGCTTCTAGGGACACCCAAGGGTTGTTCCTGAAGGAGAATAAAGCTGAGGGTCAGGTGGGAGACTCATTTACGTCTTTTTTAAAAAATCTGTGCTTGACAGATACCTTAAAAGCAACTGAGGCCAATAGGAAAAGGGGACCAGGAACTAGAGAAAAAGTGAGATCAAAAAGAATTAACCTAGAAGGTAACACACACGCACAGGAAATTAATGTGAGTCAACTCCCTGTATAGCTATCCTTATCTCAACCAGCAAAAACCCTTGTTCCTTCCTATTATGGCTTATACTCTCTCTACAACAAAATCAGAGATAAGGGCAAAATAGTTTCTGCTGGGTATTGAGGGGGTGGGGAGAGGGAGGGGGCGGAGTGGGTGGTAAGGGAGGGGGTGGGGGCAGGGGGGAGAAATGACCCAAGCCTTGTATGCACATATGAATAATAGAACAATTAAAAAAAAATCTGTGCTTGAGTATTCTGTTCAACCTGAATATTGAAAAGGAGCTGAACTACATAAAGCAAAAATGGAAGCGAAAAGGACTAAACCCCAGCAAGCCTAGGCGGTACTGCTTTTTCCTTCTCGATTTCTCTCGTAAGCTCTGAAAAAGTCAGCCACACGGCTTAACGTAAAAGGCCCTTTAAAGCGTGTAGAAGCAGCGAGGATTGTAAACACAAGACCATGTAGCGGTGGAGTGCGCCAGGCAGAAGGCTTTGACCCCAACCCTAAGGGTGGGTCCTGCCGGCTCCTGACTCACGCACCCCGTCTGAGCCACACCGACAGGGAGGCGGCAGTCAAGCTTTGAGTCCACCGCCACCATTTCCTGAGGCGAAGCTCAGGAAATGTGTAGATTCCAAAGTGTAAGATGGGGCTAACGGCCGTTCCTCACTCACAAAGCTGTGAGGAGCAGAAAAGACAAGACGCGTAAAGTGCTCTGCAGTGCCTGCCACCTATTGAGTTTCCCGGAAACGCTATCGTAAACTGTGGGAATCTTCCAGGGCCCAAGATGCTAATTTGTAAACGCCTGAAAGCTGGCCTCCCTCAGTCTCTTCGTCACGGACCTACTTCCGGTCAAGAGGATGCGGCATCCGGCAGCACCTCCTCGGGTGGGGTCTAAAGGCCCGCGCCGCCCGGGTTCCGCCCTCCAGTTACCTCCGATCGGGCTCTGACCCGGCTCAGCACCGAGGACCCCTATCCTGGAGCTCTGAGAAGCGCGCGGAGGTTGGACAGCCCCCCGCGAGGTGGCAAGCATCCTTTGGCCACAAACTTGAGTGGACACTCACCATCTCGGATGGATCCGGTAGCTACGCGTCGCAGACACTCAGCCCAATTCCGTGTCTTTCTACGCCTGCGCAGTGCCCTCTCTAAACGTACAGCCTGGGCAGCCTATCAGGAGCGAGTAGAGGGGTTGGAGGCGGGCCAGCGAGTGGATCTTAACTCCCTTAGGTCTGGTGGAGAATTGGCTCTCCCCTATCCGAAAGTAGAAAGCAAAGGAGCACTTAGTTTTTAAGTAGTAGTTCCCAACTCCAGCTGTACCGAAAAAGATGGTGGTTATCTGAGTCGGGAGAGACTTTCAACACTCGACCGAAATCTGACTTGGGTCTGGAAACCCTGGGTGGAGGGTGGTGGAAGAGCATGAAGGCGAGGAGGATTGCTGAGACCCTCTTTGGTCCAGATTGAGGCATAGTGAAACGGGAAACTGCGAGGTTGGAGTTGGAGCTAGGCGAGTCTGGAGTCTGCAGAGCGACCCCGTTGGGAATAATATTCCTTGCAAGCTCTGAGATGAATTGGTCATGTTGATCTGGGAGTCCATGATTTAGGATCCGAGCTAAACCCACCCGTGTTACTTTGGAGAAACCACTTCTCTGTGCTCTATCATTTTTGCCACCTTTAAAAGGGTACCCTTCTTTCCAGTCCTATATGTTCTGCTTTCTGCTCTTTCACCTTTAGTACCGCGGGTCCAAAAAATATATATATTGGCTTTCTAGCAGGAAATACCTTCTGTTAAAACACTTGCCATTTAGTGTCTGGCCGGAACCAAGACCATGTCAAACCCAGGGAGGTTCCCAGAGGGGATAGCCTTAACCCAAGGAACTGTGTTCATGGTCCCTGATGCTGACCAGGTTCTTGACATCGTCACAGAAAAGAATTTAAGGACAAATCTAGCTAGACGAGAGATAAGTTTTATTTAACAAGACAGAAAAGCAGGAAACAAAGCACATCCTAATAGGCTAGAACTGTGGGCACAGAATTGTTCCAAGTCCTTTGTGTAAGGCCTATGTATAAGACTCAAGTCAGCCTGGGGGCCTACAGGTCTTTGTCTGTGCAAGTTTGTTTGTACCATGACATGTTAATCCTTTGCTTCGACAACTCTTCTTTAATTGTATCTTGTTTGTTCTCAGAACTAGTAAGTTTGGAATTCCCAGAGACCAAATGATGTAGGAGATACCTGTTTTGAGACTTGGCCAGTGCTTTATTTTATAAGATATTTAGAACAGAAAGCCCATCATTAGGATATGTGTATTTTCCTTTAACAAAGGTCTCCTTTTAGTCCAAGGATGAGTTTTCCATGTTTTTCTTGATACTCAGATTGTGCTTATCCAAAGCTCTGGGCAAATCATTAATGCAAAGTTAAGAGCATGGCCAAGCCTAATTGGGGAGTGAGAGCCTTGAAGCTAGGTATTAATAGTGTTTATTTTTTTTAGCTCCTGGCTCTTGGTTCCCATGCCTTAATGTCCCTAACTTAGTCTGCCACGTTGAGTATCGGCATCTCAACTTTACAAATTCCTTTTCTTCCTGACATTGGAACTTGCTGAATTTAAGGCTGATAGTTCACTTCTAGATTTTCATTCCAAGAAGCCTCTCTTCAGTGGGGAAGGATTTGGTGCTCCTTCCAGGGGTGTCTATGTTAAGAGCACTGGATAGTGACTTTTCAGTGAAGAAATCTAGCAGATACTACCATAACCAGATTAAGGTGACTGTACTGGTAATGGGACATAACAATGCCCCAATATTATGTGCTTGGAGCATATCACCTCTTTGGTACTTTTCACAAAAATATGCACCAAAATCATAAGAAAATCAGACCCCCAAATGAGGGGTATTCTACAAGGCATTGGCCCAGTACCTTTCAAAGCTTTCAAGGTAAAGGAAAGCAAAGAATGAATGATGAACTGTAACAAATTAGAGAAGTCAAAGGAGAAAGACACTGGAGGAAAAACTGGTGAAACCTGAATAACTAATTTAGTGTGGTTTTACTAATATGGGGGGGTTGAACTTGGCCTTGTGCTTGCTAGACAGGTGCTCACTAGGTAGGCACTCTACCACTGGAACCACTTCACCAACCCAATTTATTAGTTTTGGTAATTGTGGAATGTTAACATTAGTGAAGGCAGGATAAAGAGTTCAGAGAGCTCCTGAACTCTTCAAAAGCTCTGTAAAATCTCAAACTACTTAAATTTTTTTTTTTAAAAAGGACTGCACACAAAGGAATAATTATCAAATCCTGGAACATAGGAATTCACCTCCAGATTTTCAATACAAGTAGGGGTAGAAGTGCTGCAGTGACTGGTCCTCCAAACATCGTGGAAGATAGTTACTGGACTAATCATCACCTCCATCTTACAATTGGAGAACCAGACTGAGAGGAGCGAGAAGACTGAAGATCACAATCCCGGCCAGGAATGGTGGGGGAGTTGCTGTAATCCTAGCAACTCCAGGTGGATGATCAGGTTTGACAGTTTGCCAGACTCCATTTCAACCAATAAAAGACTGGGCATGGTGACAAGCACCTGTCATCCCAGCTACACAGGAAGCATAAATAGGAGGATCAGTGTCCAGGCTGGCCTAGGCATAAAGGCTATTTGAAAAATAACTAAAGCAAAGAAGGATGGGTGTGCGTGTCAAGTGTAGCGCTCCTGCCTAGTAAGTTTGGAGCCCTGAGTTTAAACCCCAGCACTGCAAAATAAATAATAGTAACAAAGAGAATGGCCAATGTAGTTCATATGACTGGAGCCAAAATGGGTATAAAAGAGTACGTGTAGGTAGGGCCAAGAATGGTCTTGAGTAGCAAACTTAGTTTTTTGTGGTAATGGAGGAACCATTGTAAGATGTTAAGCAGCAGAGGTGTGAGACAATCTTCACACATCATTCTGTGGCAGCACAGAAGATAGACTGAAGGGAAAATGGAAGCAAGAGTCAACCTGATTAGGGATGAAGGATGAGGGCAGCTGGAAGGGAAGGGATTCAAACAGATTTGGAAGTAACATTTGATAGGACTTGGAGACCAATTACATGGGATGGCTGAATTGGCTATGGAAGATTCCCAGTGCTGTGGTTTATGAGGATCAATCTTAGGTTCCAATTTGTACTTTTCCACTTAATAGCTACAGGTGTTATTCAATGATTTTGAGCTTCTATTTTTTTATGATCCTGCCTCAGCTTCTGGAGTCCTGGGGTTACAGTATGTGCAGTATACTGTAGCATATCAGTATCTGGCACATAGTGACGAATGTAGTTAACTGGGTGTGGTACTGGTTGCTATGCTGAAGAAGTTGAATAGAACAGGTCTGAGTTAGAAATGAGGAAAAATAGTAACAGCTTGGCTTCTTTTAGTGCTCTGTAGGCATGACTGCAAATTCTCACGGTCCTTGCTTTGAGGAAAGCCTCTTGCCCACAGTCATTCTTTGCTGAGCAGAAACCCATTTACAACATTGTTCTTACAGGGTCTAGGCTGAAGACCAACCAGAAAGATTCTACTGGTTCCACCCCACAGATATTTTGATCACAGAGGAGACTATAGCCACAGGAATGGGCTGAGAGTGACAACAGCTCCTTCTCTAATTATACAAATTGACACACTCTTAAGTTCTTTATTTTCTTGGCAGTACTAAGGTTTAGAACTCAGTGCCTCACGTTTGCTAAGCAGGTGCTTTACCACTTGAGCCACTCTGCCAGCCCTTTTGGTTGTTTTCTAGATAGGGTCTCCCAAACTGGTTGTCTGGGCTGACTTAGAACAGAGATCCTTCTAATCTCTGAGTAGCTAGGATTTCAGGCGTGAGCCAGCAGTGCCTGCTTCTTATTTTTTTACACTTCTATTTTTCTTTGGTGATACTGGGGTTTGAACTTAGGGCCTCATGCTTGCTAGACAGGTGCTCTACCACTCCACCAGCTATTTTTTTTTTTACTCTGAAGAATCACAAGATCAATAGCCAGTCAGCTACTGCTAAATCCCAGTTTGATGCTCTGTGGCCAATGGTCATTAAGAATAATTACCTATTACTCATGGAAGGTTAGGTGTATCTTCCTCATTGTTATTAACTATACTGAAGGAGCTTCCTAGCTGTTTTTATGGGGTAAATAGGATAGGTTTACTACTCAGGACCTGGGAGGAGCCCAGTTTCTGTTCTTCAGCTACTGTTAGACCAGCATATTAAAACAATTTACTTCCTATAGCTTCTCTCCACTGGTTCCATTTTATTTTGGCAGTATTGGGGTTTGAACTCAGGGCCTCAAGCTTGCTAGGCAGGTTCTCTACCACTTGAGCTACTCCACCTGCACCTTTTTGTGTTGCGTATTTTTTTTTTGTCTTTTCTTTTTTGGTGCTGGGATCGAACCCAGGGCCTCACGCATGCTAGGCAAGCGCTGTACCACCGAGCTACATCCCAGCCCTGTGTTGCATATTTTTTGAGATAGGGTATCTCAAACTATTTGCCCAGAATGGCTTCAAACCTTGATCCTCCTGGTCTCTTCCTCTCGAGTAGCTAAGATTACAGGGTTGAGCCACTGGCACCTGGCCACTGGTTTCATTTTAAGGGAGACCACAATTATCTTTTTCTAAAAAAGGTGATTTATTAAAGCTGGTGAGCAGACCAGCTTGTGAAGAACAGTTGGTCTTGGTAGCTAGCTGCTGGTTCTCTACTCAACACTTATGCTAGGATCTGGCTTAGACACTTTTTGTTATTTCAGAAAAGTAATTCAGATAGGGACCCTGATTTTTGTCAGTGGCCCCTGCAGATATCTTCAACACAGGAACCAAATCCAATCTCACTGGAGTAGTGGATCTTCTGTTTCTTTCCTATACACTCCACAGTACAGACAGGCTCTAACTTGCCACTATAAAAGCAATCACACAGAAAGGTGGTTTTTGGTTTTTTTTTTTTTTTTTCTGCAGGAGAGAACATCTTTTTTCCCCAAGATTAATAGAAAAGTATGCAAATGAAGGATGAAAAAAGTTTAATTGTAAGCACAGTCTTGTATTTTTTAAGGAAATGCAAGTGAGGCAATCCCCTGAAGGAACTTTAAAAAGCACTTGACTCCCTGTAATATTTGCAGAGTTACCTGAGTATTTGAAATTACAGTTCAAGAAAACAAAGGTACTCCAATACAGTAATATACAATTCAGTACTGCTATTCTGTTCTTAGTTAATGAAAGCATATATACAAACAATTTTATAAATAACTCTAAAAGAAGAAAAAAAAAAAAAAAGAAGGAAGGGGGCTGGAGATACCAATAATACATTAAATAGAAGTAGATAACCCTAAAGGAGTTTAGAAGGATAAACTTACATCCAAAATGAGGGACATAAAATTGGAAGCAAAGTCTAATTCCATGAGTCATTGCTGGTGACAATTCAAATTATTAACCACGTAAGTAAATAGTTCATTTAGGGTGAGACCTCTGTGGGCAGTTGAGTCTCATTTCACTAAAATTTCTGATGAGTTGACATTGGCATGTCAATCCCTTGATGAAAAATCAGTACCTGAATTTTAAATAGAGTTATTGTAAGTCTTAGGAAATTAGATTCTTTTGCACTTTAAGATTATAAAAGAGCAAGAATTCATTATTAGGAGCTGCTAGATCATTTTTAAAACATCCCATTTGATGAAACAAGTGAGGTCCTTCCCTCTTGATCCAGGCTGTGGAATGCTGCCTTCCCCATCCCACCAAAAGAGCAGAAGAATAAGGCAATTGCTCATTTTACTTTGTTTTTATTTCGATGTAACATGCAGTTAAAAAAAATTAACAGGATTTATTAGCATTTACAATGCTTACAAAGAAAAAGGACCTTAAAAGCAATTTACTTCAGATTTAAGAAAAAGTTCTAATTGAACACTTACAATAAATCTATTTCCAAATATTTATTTTGGACCAAAATTTAAGATAGCATTTGGTAGATATTTATGTCTGCTGTCTGTACTATTTTTATATAACCTCTGATTCTTGGGATATCCAGCCCCCATTTTCCTAATACAGCAGGGAAGACATACACATGTGACCATTTAAATTAAAGGAAGAAATGGAGCAGGGAAACCCCAGGCTGCAAAAATATATACAAGCATTTACCTTTCCAGAACTAAATGTTTCTTTCATAAAAATATTAAATAGCCAAGCCCTATAGAACTAGGGCCAGAGCTATTTCAAATATAACTATTCTGTATTTTAAAAATATAGGGCAGAAAGCCTTTTTGGATGATATTTATACATTTTCATACAATATTTCTAGTTCCCTAAAATGCGTTATGTAGAATCGAAAAAGCTTATTTTCTTACATTAACTCTTAATTTAATCTCATAAATCTCTAGTAAATATGGTAGGTAACTATATTTCAGTATGTGAATTCACCTCAATAGGAAGTCTTTATCTTCATAGACACATATTACCAAAGTTCAGACTTATATTATAAATGAGGAGTTGGCAGACATTTGCTCTGTAAGACACAGCAATAGCATGTTTTTTGTTTATTTGTGTTTTTTTTTTTTAACCCTACAAACAAAAAGGCAGAGAAGCCCTTCTTTGGAAACAATTAGGGCTTTTAGAAATCACTCTGTATTTCCTAGGGTATGTGGAATAAAAAACAGATAGGGTTTAAGAAAGTCTAATCTCTCCCTTTACACTGACAGTTTCTGGATGAGGCAACTCACTTAAGTCTTTGCATAAGATGGCAGTGTCAAAGAGTCCAGATACACAAGTTTAAAAATGTTTTTGTTGTTTCAGGATTTAAATAGGAAGGACAGGGATGTCAAAACATTTTCTTTTCATATGGAACAGAGGTTTGCTACTCTTTGAGTATTCTTGGCTTCATGCAATTGGTTCATGCTATGCTACTGCAACATGCCAAAGTCCCTGTTATATGATTATAAAGCTGTCTTCAGGGTTTGGCTATGATAGAAACTCAGGTGGCTTAGGTTTCAGCTCACTGCCCATAAAGTCAAATCTGTAACAGCAGCATCTTGACAGTCTAAGCGAGGCCAAGTTAAATTAATGAACTACAGAGAAAGTCAAGTGCATTAATCACTTACAAATGGAGCAGTCTAAAATAAACTTGTCATAGGGAAAAAAAGGAGAGCCTGCCGAAATTTTAGAGGTGAAAGAATATTACAGATGAAAGATATTGGCTCAATTCAGGACAATGTAGAGAATGGAAATGACTACTCGAACATGTGTCAGAGAAACCAGCAAATTAATTCAGACAGAGGATACATTTCTGTGGTTACTAGATGTTATCTTCCCTTTTCTTCTAGCTAGTGCTAAAAGCTCTCCCTCCCAAATGAAAATATTATTTGAGAGGCTCTTTCACTGATCTCTATTTGGAATAGAAAATACTCTAGTTACAATTTGAACTCCTTAGCAAAAGTTAAATACGAGTGTAATTGTTGGATTATAATGGAATTATAAAGCTTCAATTTATGTATAGGATCATACAAAAATTGTCAATAATGGCCTTAAATGAATTCAGCAGAAATAATTTCAATTCTAGGTTAACTTTAAAAACATCAGTGAAGGAACCACAATGTTGATAACGTTTGTAAAGTTAGTATTTGCAGATAATTAAAATAATCAAATTTCCAAATGAAGAGAGATATGAAGTCATTTGCACTGGGACCAATTTTTCCCTGAATTCAAACAGGCAAAACTACTTTGGAGAGAGATTCAAGAGTCTTGTATCACTCCCAGGAATAACATCAAAATGATGCATGGATTCATGCTCCAGGAATGAAAAACAACAGTCATGCCAGGCTGAAATGAGAGGGAGAGCACAAGCTAGCAGTTTGTGCACATGTCCAGAAGCTGGGCTAAGCTTGTACTTTTACTGAATACCTCTTAGCAAGAGGCTTAATAAGAAGATCTTGTATATTGCAGTTACCAAGAGACTTCCCTGCATAGCTGCAGAATCTCTAAGAGAAAAAAAACCTACTCCCAAGTGAGACTTTTGACACACACAAAATTGTTAAGGAAACAATCTAGTGGAATAAGACAAGGCAGATTTCATTGCTGTGTTAAATCTCATGTTAAGTAAGTCATTGACTAGTGTTTGTAGATTTGATTTCTGGAACTACTAAGTAGAAATCTACAATCACTGGGAGATAAATCTCAGATAACTGATAAACTATCAGATAACTGAATAGTTTAGTCCAATTTTATAACAAGATGTGCAATATGCAGAGAAGGAAAAGGACAAACACTGTAAAATAAGTTCTCGTCCTTCAGTGGTACAAGGTCTCAGAAGTTACTCTTGTCCAAATCCTTCTGTTTCTTCAATGGCAAACAACAGTTTTTCCTTCAGTTGCTCATAGCTCTTGTAAGGTGGAAGGTCTAGGCGGTTAAAACTGGAAAAAAAAAAAATAAAAAGCTTGTTAGCTTGAGATTAGGAAGTATATAAAGAAACACATGGGTGGTACAGTATACCAATGCTGGCTTTAAAGATGGCACAAATTGGGTTCAAATCCCAGCTGTTATTGGGCTGTTGAGCAAGTTCTTTTTACCTTTCCAAGACTCAAGTTTCTTCTTTGGTAAAATGAAAATAACAATACTAAACCTCTCAGGCTAGAGTAAAGAAGAAACAAGCACATAGCACAGTGCCTTGTACTCAACAGGCCTCAATAAATGTTAGTCTTCTCATGCTCCCCCATCCACACTCTATCTAGATCAGTGTTTAGCAGACTTACTATACAGGGCTGGACAGTAAATATTTTAGGCTTTGCAGGCCATATGGTTTCTTAACAAAAGGTTTTAAATACATCATGTTAAGAATAAGAACGGAATCACAGGCACATACCACCATGCCTGGCTTACTGGTTGAGATGGGGTCTTGCTAATTTATTGCCCAGATAGCCTCAAAATGTGCTCCCCCCAATCTCCACTTCCTAAGTAGTAAGAAAAGAAGGGAAGCCCAGGTACTGGTGACTCACACCTGTAATCCTAGCTACTCAAGGCAGACATCAGGAAGATCAGGTTTGGAAGCCAGCCTGGGCAAATAGTTTGTGAGACCCTATCTCAAAAAAAACCCATCACAATAAAGGGCTGGTGGAGTGGCTCAAGGTGCAGACCCTGAGTTCAAGCCCCAGAAAAAAAAAAAAAAAAAGAAAGAAAGAAAAAGAAAACAAAAGGAGCTGGTCACCCATAGCTCATGGCCATAATCCTAGCTACCCAGGAAGCAGAGATCAGGAGGACTGAAGCCATCCCAGGCAAATAGTTAGAAATACTCTATCTCCAAAACAAACAAACAAACAAAAACCCCAAACACATAAAAGGGCTGGTAGAATGGCTCAAGCTGTAAGAGCACCTGCCTAGCAAGTATGAGGCCCTGAGTTCAAACCCTAGTGCTGCCCAAAAAAAACCCCCAAAAAACCCCCACAATTTACACAATGGGAAAAACTATTGCATGTATCTAATAAGGGACAAGTATCCAGAATATAAAGATGACTCAATAATAAAAATGGAAAAATGGACCACAGGGTACACATTTCTCTAAAGATATACTGGGCAATGAACATGTGAAAAAATGCTGCTCATTAGGGAAAGGCAGATAATAACCATAGTGACATACTACTTCACACCAATTAGGATGGCTATTATTAAAAAAATTTAAAAAAGAATTTATGAGGAAGAGGGGAAATTGGAACCCTATTGCACTGCTTCTGAGACTTTAACATGGTAAATAGTTCTATGGAAAGCAGTATGGTATCCCCCAAAATATTACAAATAGAATAGGGCTGGGCACCAGTGGTCCATGCCAGTACTGCAAAAAACAAAACGAAACAAAACAAATCAAAAAATAAACAGGAACATCAGGTATTTGTATACCTATATTTCAGAAGTAATTTTTGTACACCTATGTTTACAGACACATTATTCAATATAGCTAAGAGGTTAAAACTATGTTAAGTGCCCACTGGTAAATGAGTATATAAATAAAATGTAGCATATCCTTATAATGGAATATAATCCAGGCTTTAAAAAGACCTTTTGTAGAGCAAAAAGAACAAAGCTAGAGACATTATAGTATCTGATTTCAAGAAGTACAAGATTGGAGGTAAAACTCAGCGGTGGAGTACTTATCTAGCACAGGGCTCTGGGTTCATCTTCAACATTATGAAAAGCAAAATAAAACAAAAAAATTCCCATAAAGTGACATTAGCCAAATCAGCATGGAACTGGCATAAAAAGACACAGACCAATGGAACAGGAGAAGTACAGAAATAAACCCACGTATTTATAGCCAAGTGATTTTTTTTCAGCCAAGTGATTTTTGACAAAGTTATCAAGAACATGATTGTAGAAAACAAAGTCTCTTCAATAAATGGTGCTAGCCAGGAAAACTAGAAATCCTTATGCTGGAAAAACTAGACTCCTATCTCTTACCATATACAAAATAAACTAAAAATGGATCAAAGACTTAAGTGTAAGACCTGAGATTGTGAAACTACAGAAAATACAGGGGGAACTTCAGGACATTGGTCTAGGCAAAGATTTCTTGAATGTGACCTCAAAAAACACAGGCAATAAAAACAAAATTGACAAGAGTTTTTATAAAACTAAAAAGCTTCTGTAAAGCAAACAATCAACAAAGTGAAGACACAACCTATAAATATTTGCACAGTATTCATCAGGTAAGGGATTAGTTTCCAGACTCTGTAAGGAACTCAAATAGCTCAAGAGCAAAAAACAAACAAACACAAAAATAAACAGAAAGCTGGGTGCCGGTGACTCACGCCTATATACCTAGGTACTCAGGAAGCAAGATCAGGAGGATCGAGGTTTGAAGCCAGCCTGGGAAAATACTTTGTGACACCCTATCTTTCTAAAAACCCATCACAAAAAAAGGGCTGGTGGAGTGGTTCAAGGTGTAGGCTCCGAGTTCAAACCTCATAATCCCTGCCAAGAAAAAAGAACACATTAAAAAAAAAAAAAAAAAAAAGAACCACAAGTAATCTGATTATAAACTGGGCAAATGCTCCAAATAGCCATTTCTCAAAAGTGGACATAAAATGGTCAACAAGTATATGAAAAGATACTTAACATCACTAACCAATCATCAGGGAAATATAAATCAAAACCACCATGAGGTATCATCCTCACCCCAGTTAGAATGGCCATTATCAAAAAGGCAATAAATAAGTGCTAACAAAAATGAGAAGGGAATTTTCATACACTGTTGGTGGGAATATAAACTAGCACAGCTGTTAACAGAAACAGTATGGGGATTCCCCAAAAAATTACAAATACAGACAGCTGGCTGTCATGGTACACACCTGTAATCCCAGTACTTGGGAGAATGAGGCAGCAGGATGGCAAATTTGAAGTCAGATTGGGCTACACTGTGAGTCTGAGGCTACATAGACCCTATCTCAAACCAACCTCTTAAAATAAAAAATCAGAAATATGACCACTATATGATTCAGCAATCCCACTACTGGACATATTCTAAAAAGAATTAAGTATGTCAAAAAGACATCTATTCTTGTATTATACTTGGAAGGTTTACTACACTACTATTCACAACAGCCAAGATATGAAACCAACCTAGCTGCCCATCAGATGAAAGAGAGAATGTAGAATTACGTACAGTGGAATATTATTCAGTCATTAAGAAAGAATGAACTTCTGTCTTTTGCAGCAATATGGATGGAACTGGATATTATGTTAAGTGAAATAAGATAGGAACAGACAAAAACCTTATGTTCTCATTTATAATAGAAGCTAAAAAGTTGATTTAAAATCAGTAGAGAATAGAACAGTGCTTACCAGAGCCTTGGAAGTGTGTAGGGGACAAGAGAAGACAGTTAACAGGTACAGGGGCTAAGTTGGATAAGAATAACTTCTGTGCTTCTTCTATAGCACAGTGGGATAAATACAGCTGACAACAACTGACTATTTAAAAACAGCTAATAGAAGCTGGGTGCTGGTGGCTATGTCTATAATCCTAGGTACTCAGGAAGCAGAGATCAAGAAGATCTCCGTTTGAAGCCAGCCCCAGCAAATAGATAGAGAGAAACCCTATCTTGAAAACACTCAACACAAAAAAGGGCCAGTGGAATGGCTCAACTGTTAAGAGTGCCTGCTTAGTAAGCGGCAAGTGCTGAGTTCAAACCTCAGTACCAAAATCAAAAAAAAAAAAACCCAACCAAAACACCTTAAAAAATTTCAGAGGTAGGAAGAGGAATGGATTGCAAATGAGCATAAAGGATGATGCCCCCCATCATCCTTTATTGGGGGGTGGGGGGATGCTGTAGAAGTAGACTTTGGTGATGTTATACTACTAGTAAACCTACTAAATATTACTGAATAAAAAAGTGGCGAGTTTGTAGTAAATAAATTATGCCTCAGTAAAGCTGTTAAAGTAATTCAGTACCACAGGGAAAGTATTTCATTTCTAAGAAGCTAGAAGGTAACTGGAAAAAAGGCTATTTTCTCTATTCTTTCTGATTTTGCTTACCAGGTATGACTCCTGGGTAACCAATTTTCTTTCCCAACTTTTTCAATGCAGAATTTCTGTGGTCCATTGCTCCCTAAAATATAATAAAATCATGAAGAGTTTGTTGGTTCAAAAATTCTCAAATTATGCCTCCAATTCAGCAGCATGAGCATCACCAAGTTAGAACCACAAATTAACAGGCTCTACCAAGTCAAAAACCCTGAGAGAAGGACTCTATATAGTATGTGTTTTAACAAGCTGCCAAGTGATTCTGGTGCTATTTGAAGACCATTTTGTTAACATATGCCCAGAAGGAGAAAATGCGGTTTTATCCATCATTTCTTTGCTAGACTAGCACAAAGTTATGATTAATAACAGCTCACAAGAATATACAAAAAGCAGCTTAATTTTAGTAGTTTTAGACACAATAGGATAACTATGGCCCACTTTCTAATACATCCTAGTGAACAGTAACAATGCTTGCAATCACAGGACCTGTAGAGCATACCCTTGTACACATACATTCACACACAATTTCTTGTCTCTGCTGATAGCTATGATCTACTGATGATCTGAAAGCACAGGTTTAATAAAAGGTCATTTCCCTTCCCTAGGAATCATTTATAATTGTTAGTGTTAATGGACTTTTTTCTCAGGCTAGATATAGTGTACAGGCCTATAATCCCACCTAACTGGGAGGTGGGTATCAGGAAGCCTGTGGTTCCAGGTCAGCCCATGCAAAAAATTAGAGAGACTCCATCTCAACCAAAAGGCTGGACATAGTGGCATGTGTCCATGTTCCCACCTATGCGGGAGGCATATGTAATAGAATCACAGTTTGAGGCTAGCCCTGGGGGAAAAACCCACAAGATTACTTGAAACTAAGTAATGCAAAAAAAGTGCTGAGGATGGGGTTCTTCAGTTGGTAGATCACTGTGCAAGGCTGAGTTCAAACTGACTAAATCTTAGTACAAATATAAATTGGTCATATTTTTGTAGTTAATAACAATGAATTATTTTCATGAGTAGTTATGTAAGAAGTTCAATAAAATAAGGAAATGGTCATTATGAAAGAAGAATGGTTAAAATTGTTCTCTGGTATTAAACACTAAAATTTACTCATTTTACATGCTTCTCTCAATATATTACAGATGAAAAGGAGTTAATAATGCTAACATGTAATAGAGAAGATTCTGAATCAAATATTAAAATAGTAGGCAGAGAGGGATTTTAGTAAATTTCATTTGTAAAGGCTATTTTACAGCCAGGAGATGGTGGCTCACACTTATAATCCTAGCTACTTGGAAAGCTGAGATCAGGAGGATCGTATTTCAAGGCCAGCCAGGTAAATAGTTTGTGAGACCCTATCTCCAAAAATAACCAGAGCAGATATGGACGGGAAGTGTGGCTTGAGCGGTGAAAAGTCTGCTTTGCAAGTTCAAAGCCCTGAGTTCTAACTCTAGTTCCCCCCAAAAAGAGGTTATTTTACAAGTATGCCTTTTAACCATCATTTTGACTGCTTTCTCCACACCTCCAGCATTGACTGCTTTCAAAATTCAATGTCTAATTGTAAAATTTATATGCTGAAATTATAGGTTGCTTATTTTCAATCTTAGTCTGACACTAGTCCTAAAATACATAAACTTCTGTATAGACTCTTGCACCTATGTTCCTAATTTCAAGCACCTTTCAAATCATTGGGTATCTGAAGCCTAATTTACATTTTACAGCCTTGGCTACTGTAATAGGGGGCCTCTGCATGCTAGGCAAGTGCTTTACCACTGAGTTACAGCCCCAGCCCAAACACTACACTTTTAAATAAAATCCACCTCATATTTCTCTAAAATGGCCATTTATAATTTATTTTGGTAGGTGTATTATACCTGTACTGTGTTTAGGTTGTTTCTCTTTTTTTCTTGTCAAACATACTTAAGTTTATTATTTATCTTTTCTATCTGTGTCATTTTCCAGTGCTGCTTATACAGAATGGTTTCTGGTTTTCTCATAAACCCAAACCTTTACTGTAAGTAGGAAAAACTATGTGCCTTTTAGTTATCTCTTCTAACATAGTTACAAATGCATATCATTTCATTAAATCACTTTTTAAAAAATTTCTCATTTATTTTCAATCATTCTACCTCAGCCTCCCGAGTGCTAAAATAACAGGTGTGTGCCACCATGCCAAGCTAAAAAGTTCTCAAAACAATTAAACAAGAAAAAAAGAAAAGTGACATTTACAAATTTTATTTCAGAATATTGAAGGGCATATTACAAGTTTTAGTTAATAAAAATGAAATGTTGGATCAGATGTGAAGAGTCACCATGTTGAAGGATTACAAACATCAATCCTATATCCTTCTCCTGCCTTGGGCTTACACAAGATTTCTTCTAATGTTCTATGAACTATAATCTTATTATCTTGTTTTACAGGGCTATCCATCTGTGTTGTTTTACATAGCCTCATGCAACTCAACTATTATTTCCAAGAGCAGAACTAAGTTTTGTCCATTCATTCATTCATTCATTCACTCACTCACTTTTATTTGGTGGAACTGGGATTTGAATTCAGGGCTTTGTGCTTGCAAAGCAGGAGCTCTACCGCTTGAACCACACCATCAGTCCATTTTGCTCTGGTTTTTCTGGAGATGGGGTCTTGCAAACAATTTGCCCAGGCTAGCCTCGAACTATGATCCTATCTTAGCTTCCCAAGCAGCTAGGATTACAGCAGAAAGACATAGGTGCCTGGCTTGACATGCCATTTTTATACCTCATCTTCTAATCAAGTTCTCTATCTGTTTCTACTTTTGGAACTTCTCTAGCATTTATCCATTCTTTTTTTTTTTTTTTCCCCAATTCTATCTAAAATCAAGTTCTCATCTTTTCCTACCTCCAGGCTCTACCCTCATCTTTTAATGCATACCATTTGTCTTGCTATCAAATTTTCCTGAAATGTACTTCAGCAAGTTCTCCCCTATTCAAAAAGTTTCTACTTGTAATGCTCTCAGGGTAATATCCAAAATCATTTGGTCTAGCTTTTAAAGTCTTATTAAATTGGTTCTGAATTCTGTATGCAAAATCACCTGCTTAGTTCGCTACTTGTGACTCAGCTGAAGCACTGTTAAAGAGATCACAGCTTCTCTGTGCACCCTCTTATGGTACTTGGCATAATATTAGTGTCAAAGAAATACTTAAATTTATATAAATAATTTATCATTTAGTCACAAAATAAAAAGATGATGAGGATACAGATCTACATCTGAAAGAGCTCCCAGACTAAAAGGGAAGTGTTTTTAAACATGAAACGGGGCCTGAGGCTGAAGCCTGCCCAAAAAGTCTGAGGCTCTGAGTTCAAACCCCAGTACAGCCAAAGAAATAATCCAACCAGCCATACAAACAAAAAATACAATAGGGGACAATAACCACTATTGTACAATGATCTTCTCAATTCATTGAAATAGTTTTGTGTCATTTAGGAGACACTGTAATCTTTGTCAAATTACTGAATGAGCAAAAAGATTCACAAACAGAAGACTACTATCCTATTGAGTTAAACTGTGGATTCAAGCTTGAGGATTAAAAATTTCTATAAGGACTAGAAAGTGATTTAAAAGCTTACACAAATACAAGTTTACTGTGGCTAGTTAAGAAAATGATTATACTTGTCTTTGTTATTTTTGGTAAGTTTTATAAACATTTATCTAAAAGCGGTATAATAAACAATTTTTTTGTATAGGATCAGTGACTCTATATACATACCCATGAGGTCAGCAAATCCTCCTACTGGCAATCGGCAGGTTCCAGTAACAAACTGTAGAAGTCTCATTCTCTTCTCATTATCAATTTCTTTAACAAACTGTTAAAATAACATTTAAAGAGATATAGAAGTCACATGTTACATTCAGCTCACTGAACAAAAAGAAAAATGCTCATTTCAAATCTTAAATCAACTCCTGGTGTCAGTTGCATAAGATAAGGACAAACATAGCCATGTTTGTCAAAGCCCCACCTATACATATATATCTCTTAGAATGACTTCGTTAAAAGTAAGGATGCCCTGGGCCTAAGAGCTTCCCACTCATACAGTTTGAACAAAGATCACCTCTTGTTGGGCAGCCCCTTTTCCCTCCTAGATCTGCCTGGGCTAGATGTTCATGTGCTTACATAGGACACAGAAGTCAAGTATGTATAGACTTTTTGGTTTTGTGAATAAATGAAATCAAGCTCACAGAATTTTATTCCAGATATAATTCATTAACTTCCTTTCTTCAATTTTTTTTAGGTTTTGGTATAGCTACACGTAGCCAAGATTAGGTAGGTTTTATGTCCTACAGTTCTGACTGTACAATGAAATGGTACTAAGTACATTCATACTGATGTGTAGCCATCATTACTATCTTGAGAACTCTTTCATTATCCAAAGCAAAAACTATGCATACATTAAACATAACTTTCCACTCCCACTCTCTACAGTCCCTGGTGATTTCTATCCTAATTTCTATCTCAGTGAATCTGTCCATTCTAGGAACCTCATGTAAGTGGAATAATACAGTATTTGCCTGATGTATTTCACCTATTTAAAAATTCATGTTTATGCTCATTGTTTCAAATACTTTTGTTCTGAACACTATTTTCCTCTTGCAGTGCTGGGGATTGAATTTGGGGATTTGAGTATGCTAGGCAAGCTACACCTGCAGCCCACAGTTCATAATGTTTTGTTTTGCTCACTATGTACCCCAGGTTGGCCTCAAACTCATCCTCCTGTCTCAGCCTCACATGTGCCTCCACACCCAGCACAAATTTCGTATTTTTAAACTTCATTCATGTTGTACCAAAGTTGAAACTTAGGGCCTCTGTACTTCTAAGCAGGTACTCTACTCCTGGAACCACATCCATAGCTTGTTTAGTTTTTTTTTTTTTTCCTCTCTTTGCAGTACTGGGGTTTGAACTCAGGGCCTACATCTTGAGCCACTCCACCAGCCCATTTTTGTGACAGGTTTTTCAAGATAGGGTCTCACGAACTATTTGCCTGGGCTTTGAACCTTGATCCTCCTGATCTCTGCCTCCTGAGTAGCTAGGATTGCATGTGTGAGCCACTAGCAACCAGCTGTTTTAGTTATTTTTCAAATAGCATCTTGCTTTTACCCAGGCTGGCCTGGAACCCAATGCTTCCTGTCTTCATTTCCTGTGTTGCTAGGATTATAGGGATTAGTCACTGTGCCCTACTCCCTCAACATAACACTAATGGTATAAGCAGGTATCTGTAACTATTAATGATGTCAATCACCTTTTTTTTTTTTTTACGATAATGGGGTTTTAACTAGGGGACTACTTGCTAAGTAGGTGCTCTATCACTTGTGCCACTCAGCCAGCCTTTTTTATGTTGGTTTTTCTCAAGATAGGTTCTCTCGAACTATTTGCCTGGGCTGGCATCAAATGGTGATCCTCCTGATCTCTATCTCCTGAGTAGCTAGTACAGGTGTGAGCCACTGGTGCCTGGCTTGTTCAGCACCTTTTTATGTTCTTATGTATTTGTGAGAGATACTAATGTGGTTCTAAACCCTATCTTTTAAATTTTGCCAACTGAACATTATTTAATTCTTAATGAAGCATGAATAGTGAAAAGCATATTACAGTATTTTATCTTCTGGACTATACTCTGGGCAAAGCTATGTGTTGCTTAACAATAGCCTTTAAAGAATGCTGTTAAAATCTCTCATTTATCTATTATAATGCATTACTTTAATGTCTAGGATGGGCTGAGTGGCCTGCACACATTACATTTTATTCTGTTACTTATTGTAGCAAATTTTAAACCATTATGCTGTGTTGGTCAATAAAAATAAAATTAGAAAGGCAGCCATGATGGCACATGCCTGTAATCCCAGCACACAGGAGGACTGACACAGAGGATCGTAATTTGAGGCCAGCCTGAGCTATACAGCAAGTTCCATGCTAGCTTGGCTTCATAGTGAGACCTTTCTCAAATAAACAAACAATTAAATTAAAAAATAAGTCGATTAAGAAACAAACCTGCCAAAACCACATGATTTGTTTGCTTGTCCTAGTATAATGACGGTAGATGGCATGTCTTTGCCAGTCATTCAAATCAATCTCTTGCATTCCACATAAAAGTACCTTTTAGGGAAGAAAAAGATAAATTATTTAATGATTTTATACATGAACTGTATACAAAATGCTTAGTATAAATATGAAAACACTAATATAAGGCAACTTGGAAAATATATTAATAAACAGGTTTTAGGCTTGTAAAGTGTACATCAATAATTATATCTACATTACTCAGGAGTGTGAGTTTTCATGCATGGTGTCATATACACATATATTCAGGGTAGTAAATCATTTAATTGTAGAGAAGCCTTAATAGCAATTTATGCAGGCAGGCATGTATGTATTAATTTATGCAATACAAATTTATGTATGTATGTATTCACTTATTTATTGGTAGGACTAGCGTTTGAGTTCAGGACTTTCTCCTCAAGTCCATTTTACTGTGGTTATTTTTAAAGATAGGGTCTTGCAAACCATTTGCCTGGGTTGGCCTCAAACTGCAATCCTAATCTCAGTTTCCCAAATAGTTCGGATTACAGGTGTGAGCCAGCAGCACCTTGAGCCACTCCAGCAATCCTTTCTTTTGTGTGTGTGTGATGGGTATTTTCGAGATATGGTCTCTCCAACTACTTGTTCAGGCTGGCTTTGAACCTCCTTATCTCTGCCTCCTGAGTAGCTAGGATTATAGGTATGAGCCACTGGCGCCGAGCTAACAGCAACATTTTAAAGGTAGTTTTATCTTAGCATAAATTATGGTTTTCTTTAACCACTGCAGAAGATTCAAAACATCTTTACCAACATGAAAAATATTGTTTGCCAGCTAGATGGCAGTGGGAAGATGGACAAGTGAGTTGAAAGTAGATACCTGAAGGCATTATTTACTAGCACGTTGCAGCTGGGGAGGTGGGGGAGAGAGGGAGGGAATTCATTACCTCTAATTCCTTTGCATCGAAGTACTGCAAATACTGCTGGGGAAGAATTTCATTAAAGCCTTCAAAGAAAGCTTGTGTCTGTTCTTCAACACCTCTAGATAACCTCCACTCAGCTACCATTCTGGCAGATAAATATGAAAAGCTTATCAGGAATTTTAGATTTTACCTTTACATTCTCAGTATAAAATTAAAAATGTAAAACTTTACTGTCATGGAAATCTGAAATATATATGAAAGTACAGTAGAATGAACCCCTTTGTACACATGTCCAAGCTTCATCAAAATGTCAGTCTTACTTCATCTATACCCCTAATTCATACTGTAGATATGTTTCATTTGAAGCAAATATTTCTATGTGTCTCTACAACATGAAGCCTCTTTTCACAAGCATACCACTATAGCACCAAAAAAAAGAGAACAATTCCTTAATATCAAGTATTTAGTGCTCAGATTCTGGCTGATGCAATTTTTTGAACTAATTGTTTAAATCAGGATCCTAAAAAAGTACGTATGTTGCAAAAGTCTCTTAAGCATCAGATTCTTTTTTTTTTTTGGCAGTACTGGGGTTTTTACTCAGGGCTTCATGCTTCCTAGGCAGGTGCTCTATCACTTCAGTCATCCCACCAGCCCTTTTTTGTGTTGGTTACTTTCTCGAACTGTTTGCCTAGGTTGGCTTTGAACCAAGATCCTCCTAATCTCTGCCTCCCAAGTTGTTAGGATTACAGTCATGAGCCACTGGTGCCAGGTGAATCTTTTAATGAAAGCATTTTTGAAGAAAATTCTTCTTTAAATATTCCAGATTTCAAATCTGCTTTTCTTCTAATCTTCATTTACATATATTTTAACAAAGTTAAAAATCGTAACATATAAAAATTAATTTTTGTTTCAGAATATTTACTTTAAAAAATTTTAATGAGCAAATAAATTTGGGTATTTCAGGCACTTGATACCTTGACAACATTTGGAGTCTAAAGTTTACTGAAAACTATGAAATTTTTTTAAATGGTGTGTAGGTCTTCTGGTGCTTACCACAGATTATGTTTTGCACTGTATAGAAAGACAAAGTAAAGTAAACCTACCCTTTATACCCTCAGCCCTGGCCCTGTGCCAGTCTGTATTATGAATGAGGAGACATAGGGAAAGAAAAGAAAATGCAGTGTAGGTTGTATTGGACAAATCATATGATAATTCTAATTCTAATTCTAAACTCTGTGAAAATGATTAAAGAAACGATCAAAGATATTAGCAAGAGACCAAATGCAGGCAGGAACTGGTGGGGATGAATCTTGAAAGGAGGTCTGCAAACTAGAGCAGATCTACATTTAATAGACTTTTCCCTAGAAAGCACTTTACAGTTTACAAAGAGCATAGATGTGGAGAGCGCAAAAAGAAAGCAACAGTCCTGTTGGGCTGAGAAGACATGAAGTTGGGAGTGTGAAGCTCCTACAGCAGTGAGGGGAAAATCCCAGAAAGTAGGAAGACAGACAGGAAGCTCCCAAATCTGCACGTAAATTTACTTATAGTTCTTAGTTGCATATATGTAGCAGATTCCAAGGAATCCTGTGGAGAGCAACAAGTGGAATGCCAAAGACCTAAGCAGAAATTTCAGCTGTGTTGGAGAGACAGAATTTAAGCATGTACACTTTCAAGGGGTTGAGAAAACACTTAGGGCCTTCTATTGTAAGGAATAGGGACCATGTTCCAGGTGTAAGAGTTATGTTTTAGGACTCAAGACAAAATGGAAATGAAAGTGCCCTAGGAAACTTCCACAGGACCACAGTGATGTCTCCTTTATTTAACTGCCTATCAGAACAAAAGAGGTATAAAATTCAATAATCGTTACAGGAAGAAAAAGAAATGGAGAATTTCTGCCATGTATTACAATTAAAAATTACTACACAAGCAAAGAAGCAGGAAAATGTGGCCCATATTCATGAGAACAAACTCCACAGAATTAGGCTTATAGATGGCCTAAGTTGAAGTTAGCAAAGACTTTAAATCAGCTATTTAAAATGTATCAAATATACATTCAAGGAAGGAGGGATGTATCTCAGAAGTAAAGCATTTGCCTACCACATGAAATGACCTGAGTTCAATTCCTAAACTTGAAAAAAAAAAAAATCATAGTTAAAAGTAAACAAAAAGTGGTGTACCACTTATAATTTCAGTTACTGGGAGGCAGAGGTAGGTAGCACCATGATTTGAGGCCAGTGAAGCAAAATTAGCTTGAAGACTCTGTCTGAAAAATAAACTAAAAGCAAAAGGACTTAAGATGTGATTCACGAGGTAGAGCACCTGCCTAGCAAAACATGAGGAGACCTTGAATCCAATCCCCAGTACTACCAAAAAAGAAAAAAAGGGGGAAAGAAATAGAGCTTCTTAACAGAGAAGTAGAAATTCTTAAAATAACCAAATGTAAATTCTAGAATATCTGAAATAAAAATTTTATTAGATGACCTTAAGGGTTATAAAAGAGCAGTGAAAATGAAGGCATATGAACCAAAATAATCTAAACTGAAGAACAGAAGAAAAAATGGTCACTGAAAATTATGGGGTGACATGAAAAGTTAAAAGATTCACGTAACTTAAAATTCTTGAAGTAATACAGAAAGGGAGTGAGCCTCAGGGAGCACTCATGAAGATAAAATCCCACAGTTCCTCATAGAGTGGAGTGGCATCAACCACAGACATGAGAAGTTCAGCAAGCAAGCATGCTAAATGCAAAGTGATCACAACTATGCACAGGGAAAAACTGCTGAAAATAAAAAATTAAATTCTTCAAAAGCCATGGAAAAACATGTATTTAATTCAGAAAAACATGAACAAAAGCACAGATCATCAAAAACAAGAGAACAACGGAATGACACTGAAATAAAGTAGTAAAAAATTTAAAATACTATAAACCTATAATTCTAAATCTCATGAAAAGAGCCTTCAAAACTAGAAGTTAAATAAAATGTTCATATAAAAGCTGAGTAAATTTATTGCCAGCAGATACACTAAGAGATATGATAAAGAAAGCTTTTAAAGCCGAAGGAAAGTGATATTAGATAGAAAAACATATGAAGAAATGAGGTTCAGAAATGGTAATGTAAACTGGGCATGCTTGTAATCCCAGAAACTCAAGGAGGCTGAGACAGGAAGACCGAAAGTTTGAAGCCAATCTGGGATTCAAAGCAAGTCCTTGTCTCAAAAACAAAGTAATATGAATAAATATAATAGGCTATTTTTCTTAATTACTTTAACAATCTACTGATTACTTAAAGTAAGAATAAGATCTCATGTTATGAGATTTATAACATGTAAAAATAAAATGGGACAATAGCACAATGAGCCATGCCCCTAGCTACAAGGATATTTTACACTAATTAAAATAATTTAAAGTACAGATTATTTACTAACAAATAGTACCTTTATACTATACATTGATAATGGCTAAAATTGTGCATTTTTAATTATAAAGGGAAAACCAAGCAAACAATCTAGAAACTGGAACTTAAGAAGAAGCAGACAGCACACATAATTAGCAGAGAGCTGAGCAATGCCCTAGAGAAAATGGTTAAAAACCTCAGATCAGGCACCTTCTCTTGGAATCCTCCCCCAACTCTGGGGGCTCTACTGTCCTGCTTTACACTTTTCTATCTCAATAAACTCTCCTACTTTACTCGGAGGAGGAAAAAAGCAAATAATGCTAAGTTTAACTGCAATTAGACAGAATTGGTGTTGAGAACTATAAAGGAACTAATAACTTTTGAGACTCTGCAGTCTCAAATCAGTGCACAAAGCGTTATAGAGGATAAATCATTAAACCATTGTTTTACTCATAAATTTTATCTAATTTTACCATACTCCTCACAAAAATATAAACTTTTGAGATTCTTTTCAATGACCATGGCATAGTGAATACAGAATTGGTATTTACAAAAGTGCTCCAACAAGACTTCTACTCTTAAAACTCAAACTCTTAAAACTGAAAACTAGAAATGAAAAATAATTACCTACACAGAATTATGATTAATACAAAAGCAAATGTTATTTAGAAAAATAACCATCCATTGCTATTGCTAGGCAATTATCAACAGAAAGTCTAAACTATGTCAAAGGAGTGTTCTCTTACCTAATGTATTCTTCTTTATTTTCTTCTGTCACAAGAATATTGCCACCATTGGGTTTCAAATCATGACTCTTAATTTCACCTAAAATTTCTTTATCAACGGAGAAGTACATTTCCAAACCACATTCCTCAATATTGTTTTCTCTGCATAAATGAAATTAGTACTATTTGTTATATCTACCAATTTAATCGTAATTTAAAAGTTTTAAATTCAAGACCTTTGATCTTAGTTAACTTTAAGCTATAAAATCAAAATAAGAAGAAACTGGAAGATTAGGCTCTAAAATCCTATTATTGTCCACGATTCTGGATATACCTCTATAAAATTTATAACTCAACAATGAGATAGGTTTAATGTATAGACTGCTTAAATCCAGTAAGCCAATGTCATGCTTACAGTTTAGATGAGTTACTAATACCTTAATCAAAACATATAAACTATATTTTAATAATTGTAAAATGAAACTTACTTAACCCAGATTAGAGAATTGTAAAATTCTGGATCAATAGATTCTAAATCCTTAAGTCCAACTGGTTTGTTCAAGATACGTTTATAGAATGGTAAAGAAAAACCGGTGTCTATAAATTTCCCATGGAACAGAGCCTATACAGGAAGGGAACAAAACCATTTAAGATAATTGTATAAATGTCATTTTATTTCAAAACATTAGATGAATTTTTCATTCTAAAAAATTCCTGTCACATGATCAGTTATGCCACATAAGAAAATTAAGTACTGATGAATTAGCAAAGCAAACGCACAGTTCTATACATGCACTTACCATGGCAATAAACCTGCCAATAAAATGAAAGTATTTCAAGTGATCTGGATTGATGTAAGAAGCAGGGTTTATCTGCAAGCAGTAGTTGTCCTTCCCTGCATATTCAAACAGGCAATACATGGGGTTCAACACTTCATGTGACAAAAGAAAGAACCATTCTCTGAAATCAAAAGAAAACATAGGATGGAAAATCTTATAAGTAACCATCCTAGCAAATCAAAGAGGAGTGTTACAAAGTTTTTGGAAATCTATACACCTCAGCTGGTGACAGTTTCCTAATCTCACATTGATTTTTATTGCTTCTGTTCAAGCTTATGAGTATTTTACAGATGATACATATACACATTTTTTTTTTCTGGGGGGTAAGGGGAAATTACTGCAGTTTGAACTCAGGGTCTCACACTAGCTAGACAGGCACTCTACCACTTGAGCCACTCTGCTAACCTATTTACTGCTTATTATTATATTTCAAAGCATCTAAGACATCACTGACCTTAAAGACACCCTTATTTGATGACCCACTCAATTTCTTTTCCAATTTTAATTGTAATACACATCTAAATGTCAGAGAGTTAAAATATGAAAATGTTAAGTCTCAGAACTGATGAAATACCATACACAGCAAGTTGTTATTGGCCCAGTTGTTTCAAGCTGCTGAAATCATTTAATATTCCTTCTATTACTGAATGATATTCAACAAGTGGCATTATTCCCTACATCTCAGATGACTATAAAAACTTTCAATTTCACAAAGGCAGAAAAGCACTTAATTCCAGCCACACAATTATTAGAACAATGCTCTGAAAAGATCTAATTCAAGTGTTCTAAAAATACGTACCCATATTAAGATAAGATTATGTTTACTATGTTACATGGATGGGTCTGGGAGAACAGATCTGGTGCAACACACTGTCTTTTCAGCCTGCGTCCTATCACTCTTTATCATGGCCACTGGTGACAACGCTGCTTATACTTTAATATTGCTAATTTAATTTTCTAATTAGGATTAAATAATCGCTCTCCTTTTGAATTGTCCTTAACATACAAAAGTAAATATTCCTGATATTATTTATCTGTGATTACTTCACACATTTTCAAACAGCTATTTGAATTTTGCAATAGAATATAAATAACTCCTGAAATGTAGCCACCAGTAGCAATCGAGCAAAGACTCTGAACTAGATTATTAATAAAAGTATTTCTACTCTCCATAATAATCCTAGATAGTAACTATTCTTATTTTACAGCTGAAGATATTTGCCCAAGGTCACACTATTGAGGTTAGGAAATAGATTCAAATCCAGTCTTGACTCCAAAGTCTTTCCTTTCAACATTGCCACTGCTATCTAAATTTTTAATATGATATGACATATTGTTACAGAATAAGCAGATATTTTTTGCTTGAGGCTGTTTTCTAGGGTTTGATTACAAGTTCCAAAAAGAGGAAAAAAAAAAAATTAAAGACTTTCAACTCCCTATTTTATATAGCTTTTTATAGTCTCATGTCAGAATATTAATCTCAGCAAGGAACCAAGCACTTCAGAGGGCCATGGTGCTCTGTTAAACAGACATGAGGTGGTTGACTGAACTAAGCTATTGATTAAATAATGCCAACCTTGTTCTAGGATACAACTTATAAATGCCTTATTTGAAATCTCTGAAGCCTCTTCACCTGTAAAATTCTATCTTGCAGGATTATTTCTGAGGACTAAATGATTTGATAAGCCAATTATGGGTGCCCTAGAAAGTACTTAATTGTTGAAATTCTGTAGCTGTAGAATAAAGCTGCAATATTTGCTATGTATCATTTTCCTGAGATATCAGATTGAGAAAATAATATTTGTAAGCAAAGTGTAATGATACCTTTGGAGTAAAGAAACTAAGTTCTGAGTATTCATATTATCACTACCTTGCTACACCTCCATAATCTAAACCTTCTTCTCCTGGAAAAATCACCCACAAACGTCTTCGCAGGTCTTGGGGATTGAAGCTCATTATCTACAAAACAATAAAGTGAGACAATTGGTGAAAGGAGTTGTAGAAACACAATTCTACCACTTCTAAGTTTGACACCTACTTCATTATAGGTAACTTAAATCCCTCATGACATAGAATTGTGTTTACATTCTAGTTAACATCACAGATGTAGAAAATACATTATATAAAGTTTCTTAAGTTTTAAATATTATACACATCTACATTTTATATACATTATATACCTCTATATATAACTTGTAAAGTTAATTGACCAATTGCTTAGAACACAGAATAGCATGGTCAGAGATTAGGTAGGTTTTTTTGCGGTGTCGCGAGGGTTGGTTAGGTTAAGGTTTGTTTCACAGTTAAAGGTACACATAATACCTAACTGACTAAAACCTGTGTCTACAGAGTGCATCCAGTTAACTCTGGAAACTTATTCATATTGACAGCCTATACATACATGGTAAAACTACTCAAATTTAGTGTTCCACCATGTGGTTAATAAGATTATTTTCAAATTTAAAGGACTGTACCATTACTGAGCTAAAATGGACAGGTCATTTGGTTTTTCCATCTGTAAAACTAATTATATACCCTTAAAAAAACCCAGAAAAACCCACAGAGGCCTGGATAGGGAGAATTTAATATAATACCTGTACTTTACCAATGATAAGAATGAATTCTCACATTTAAATATCCAAAGTGGATCAGTAAGTAATCTGTTTAAGTCAGGGTTCTCTCAGTTCCCCCAAAAAAAGACACATCAGATTTATGAATTCATATCTCAAACAATTAACATCCCAAATGTGACAAAAAAATTCGATGCCTACAAAATGCTCATCATATACATACATGTTTATGACAAATACTCTACAAATAGTACAGGCTAAGTATACAGCAATGCAAATGAGAAATGTCACAAAATTATAAACTATCATTAAATAATTCATTTTAACAACTAATATGAACAAATTCTTTTTTCTGCTATTTCCCCCATAAGCAGTTATATTATGTTACTGAAAAAATACTCTGCAAAGTAAATTTACCCAATAGCTATGAAGAAAATCTGAAGCCAATTTTGATATCAGATCATTACCTTTAAACAATTAAATTGTTCTCTTTTATTTCGTAGATGTCAATCTAAGGCAGCAGTTTTTTACCTTTTTTTTTTTTATTGTAATTTATTTATCTTTTTGCAGTATATGGGAGGCTTGAACTCGGGGCTTATTCTTGGTAGGCAAGTGCTTTATCATTTGAGCCACTCTGCTACCAGACCCAGGTAGCAGTTAAAAAAAAAAAGTTTTAGCACTACCTGTTCTGTCATACTGCAAAACACTTTAGGTTTGAAAAGTCAAAAGGTAAAGGGAGAGTAATCTTTTCAATAATGATAGAAGCAAGTTATGCTCCAAGAAATTCATCCAACAGAAACAGACTACTCAGTGACAAAAGGGTGATTATGAATATGAAAATTAGAAATGGGCAAGGACTGGGGTGGGGATGGCCTTAGAGAAGGGTATGATCAGAATTCTCTGATCTCATTCTAGTTCCAAGTCCCATTAAAAAGTTGTCTGTTTCAAAACAGCAAAAGCCAATTAGCTTTTCCCTTTAATGTTAACAACTGAAGTTCCATTAAAAAAATGAACACAACTGTTTCTAAAATCAAATAGCCAGTTACTGCCAACTATCTGAATTTCCTTGCCCTTTGCTTTTAGTTCAGTACTTCTTGAAGCTATATAGCTACTGCGTTAAAATTATGGGTGCTTGAAAATAATCACTTCCACATCTGGCCACAAAACAAGAACTAGTCAGATGTTTTTATTTTAAGACGTTTTTCACTGGCTATTTTATTTTTATTTTTAAATATTTTTTTGGCAGTACAGTGGCTTGAACTCAGGGCCTCACACTTGCTAGGCAGGCACTCTCCACTTGAGTCACTCTGCCAGCCCTTCACTGGCTATTTTAATTTTCCCTATAATAATCACTTAACATTTACTTGTACTTGGTTGTTAGTGGTATCTACAAAAAAAAGGGGGGGAGGTGTGTGAAAAAATTTGTTGACTACTTCTGAAAACTCATCAGTGACCAATTTCTTTCCTACTTAAAAACAAAAGTTTAATTGTTAAGAATAACATATGCTTATTGTAAAAATTAAAAAAAAAAATCAATTGATACAGAAATGTAAAACCAGTCTTCTGTTTCCCTTTCTACCCATTCCACAACTGTAATATGGGTATTTCCAGACTGCCTACCGATAGCCTATTTTCCTATATAAGTGTATCTATTTGAAATAAGAATTTAGCAACTAGTAAAATTCACTAATTACTTATGTTACTCTAGCACTGAAAGACACAGAACACACAGGTACATGCACACACAAAAAAAACTATGTATATGTTCCAGAATGGTACTATGTCAGCTAGCAATGAGATTATACTTTAAAATTCAAGAAATCCAAACTGAAGTATAAACTGTTCAGGTTAAACTGCCAGCATGGAAAAGTATTCCTGGGCTGGCAATGAAGGGACTAAACAACTGGGTAAATCAGACAGTACCTGTTGAAAGGAATCCTCAAACAATGTTTTTCTTGTCACTGTGATCTTTATGTGCTGTGGCATGGTCAGTTGCTGAAATGTAAGAAAGATTTAAGTCAACCCTTACCATTAAAATAGCCTACCAAAAAACCAAAAGGGAAAGTTTTAGTCACTTTTGTCTTTGTTTAGAGAAACTGACTTTTAATATGATTTTTTTTTCTTTGCCCTACTGGTGTTTGAACTCAGGGCCTATACCTTGAACCACAACCTTTTTTTGCGAAGGATTTTTGCAAGATAGGGTCTCAGGAATTATTTGCCTGGGGTGGCTTCTAACCTCAATTCTCCTGATCTCTGCCTCCTGAATAGCTAGGATTACACATGTGAGCCACTGGTGTCTGGCAAAATACCCCTTATTTTTCAAAAAAATTATTTTATTTTGGCAGTACTGGCATTTGAACTCAGTGTATCACATTTGCCCACAGGCACTCTACTACTTGAGCCACTTGACCAGTCCAATATGAACTTATAATCAATAATGTTTACTAAGGCATTTGTGAACATTCATGCTTATAATGGGTTATTTAATATATGAGAAACAGAAGAGAACAAGACCACATTATACACAGTGTTTACTTAATAAATCAAATCTTAGTTTTACTAATCAAAAAGCTAATTCAGATTATTTCCCAATTAACTACGAGAGTTTGGAGTTTACAAATATTTAACATAACAGTTTGACTAATGCATTCGTTTTATTTAGAGCCCATAAAAATCTTTAAAGATTTACTTAGACATTAAAAGTAAATCATCATAGTAATTTATTTAGACATTAGTCATGTTAAATAGCTGATTATATTTGGAAAAAACTGACTTAAAACATGTTTATTCAAACATGTATATGGTCATGTATGTATAAACACATAGGTATATACCAAAGTCATTTATATGAAACACTAGATATGGAATCAGGCATAGTGGTACACATCTATAATCCCAGCACACAGGAAAATGAGACAGGATACAGAATTCCCAGCCAGATGCTCAAGCTACATAGTGCAACCGTGTCTTAAAAAAACAAGTTTTGAGGCATTGGGCACCAGTGGGTTGTGCCTGTAATCCTACCCACCCAGGAGGCAGAGATCAGGAGGATCATGGTTTGAAGCTAGACCTGGGAAGTAGCACGAGAGACCCTATCTTGAAAATACCCACACAAAAAGGTTTGGTGTAGTGGCTCAAGTGGCAGAGTGCCTGCCTAGCATGTGTAAGGCCCTGAGATCAAACCCCAGTCTCACCAATACAAACAAACAAACAAATAAATGAAACACAGCTACTGAGACTGAAAGAGTTGAAGTTCAACAGACCTCATTTCAAGCAACAAAAAGCTGGGCATGGTGGCACACAACTGTTATCACAATTTCAGGGAAAGGACAAACAGGAGGATCAAAGTTCAGACCAGCCTGGGCATAAATGAGAGACATTATCTCAAAAATGACCAAAGCAAAACAGTCTAGGGGCATAGTAGTTGAGAGCCTGCCTAGCAAGCTGGGAGTTTAAACCCCAATACTGAAAAACAAGACAAAAAAAAAACAAAAAAAAGGCCCAAAAGCAAAACAACAACCCCACTAGATATGAAACTGGCTGGTTGTAATTTACAGATAAAAATATTTTATTTGAAAATTTGTGCATTCTGAAAGTAATGGGTACTAAGGAAAAGGTTAACAAATGTTTTCTTATTCAAATGGATTCAAGCTTACTCTTCTAAACAACAGAAGCCGCAATTAGCAAATTGATAAAATCTTTGTTCTGAAAGCAGATGTAAAATGCTTCTTATCTACGCTGTTCTCTTGTGAATTAATCATTTTCGCAACCAACACATCAAGTGGCTCATGCCTGTATCCTGGGAACTTGGGAGGCTGAGACTGAGAGGATTATGGTCCCAGGCCAACCTGGGCAAATAGTTCACAAAACATTTAAACCAGTAAGTGGGCACAGTGCTGTCCCTGTCACCCTAAGCTATACTACATGGGAGGCTGACATATGAAGATCTCAGTTCCAGGCCAGCCTGGGCAAAAAAAGTTTGTGATACCCCATCTCAACAGAGGTGGGTATACTGGTCACCCCAGCCAAGCAGGAAGATCATGGTCTAGGCCAGCCTGGACAAAAAGCAAAACCCTACCTTCAAAATGACTATAGCAAAATAACCAGGGGCTGGAGGAAAGGCTCAAGCAGTAGAGTGCTTGCCTATCAAGCTCAATGCTCTGAGTTCAAACCCCAGTACCATCAAAAAAGGAAAAAAAAAAAAAAATCAACATAACAAAGGCAGAACAGAGATGCAGTTCCCATACTAACCTGACACCAAAACCGGAAATACTGAACTTTTGCCTTGAAGTCTCGAACATATGCTATCTGTGGTCCATTGTCTCTGGCGACAGAACAAGGGTTAACATGATATATACAGCTGTTTGTAAAAGATAATAATAAAGAAAAGCAAATATCCTGCTCCCTTCAGTACTTAGTAACCAAATACAAAAATACCCAACACAGTATATTCCTAAAATAATTTTTTGGGGACATATTTCCCAAAGACTATCTTTAAGTAAAAGAAATAAAATGTGATCATGTTGAAGCCACTGTTGTGGTATTATTTTCACATGCAGTCAAATCTAACAGAGTTGGGTAAAGGAAGTTCTATCTGAGAATGTTGTCTATATTAACATCTTCTCTTTCTATCCTTTGTTCTTAAGAGTCTTGATTGTTAACTGGCAGATTGCTACACAGGATAAAGGCTACATTTTTCAGTGTGTTCACATGACTTGGACTCTCGTTAATGAGCTCTAAAATACTGTCATTTGTGAGTTTCAGGAGGTTCCTTTTAAAGAGAGGAAAGATAGCTTTTTAGGTTTTTTCTTTTTTGTTTTGCTGGTGGAACTGGGATTTGAACTCAGGGCTTCATGCTTGCAAAGCAGGCATTCTACCTCTTGAGCCACACCTCCAGCCCCACTTACAATTTTTTCGTGTTTGCTTTTTCAAATCTCAATTTACCTTCTTTCGTATTTCAGCCTGGAGTATAACTTTGATAGTTAAGTTTCAGCACAGATTACGATGTGACACTGAGGATAGAGACTATGCTCTGGGATGGTAGAACAGAAAAAGAAGTATGTTGTGGGGTTTCCCAGCAAGCCCCAGACGACTTTGTACACTGGAATGCCTGCATTTTCCCCCAAACTACTCTTATCTAAGTGTATGTCACAGTACTGGGGATTGAATTCAGGGTCTTGAGCCAGAGCGGAGTCCTAATTTTATTTTTTCAATGTTGAATGTATTTAAGTATAGAAGTACAATTGACTCGTATATTGATTTTGTATCCTGTGACACTGTTAAATTCATTTACTAATACTACCAGTTTTTTCTTGATTCCTTACGATTTTCTATGCAAGAATTATGTGTGGGGGGAAAAAACATACTTTTACTTCTTCCTTTCCAATTTATGTCTTTTATTTTTTTCTCTTACCTCACTGCACTGGCTAGGGCTAGCTATATAATGTTGAGTAGAAGCAGTGGTAGTTAACATCTTGTCATATTCTTGATCATATGGAATGTATCATAAAGTGGTGATGCTGGCTGAAGGCTTTTTGCAAATACCTTTCTGTGGATAAGAACATTTTCAAGATGATTGAGAGTTGATCATAAATTTCCTTTATATTTTATCAAAAAATTTTCCTGAAATGATCACATGGTTTTTCTTCTCTAGTCTATTAATATGGTGACTTACATTGATTTTGTTTTTTATATTAAATCTTGCATTCTTGGGATAAACTCCAATGATGATGATATAACAATCCCTTTTATATCTGACTGGATTCAATTTGTCATTATTTTGTTAAGGATTTTAATAGCTAGGTTCATAGAAATATTAACAATTTTCTTTTCTTATACTGTTCCTGTCTGATTTGGGTATCAGAGTTATTATTATACAAGCCTTATGAGGCTTGTACTTCATAGAAAAATTTGAGTAGGATTTATGTTACTTATTATTTAAAAGTTGGATAAAATTCACCAGTGAGGTCATTTAGGTCGTAATTTTCTTTATCCTTGGCAGTACTAGGGTTTGAACTGAAGGCCTAATGCTTGCTATTTAAGTACTTGAGTTTAAACTCAGGTCCTCAAGCAGGTAGGCAGGCACTCTACAACTTGAAAAACTTAGTTTTTGGATAGGGTCTCATGTTTCTGCCCAGAGCTGGTCTTAGACCACAGTCCTTCTACTTACACCTCCTGCATAGCTGGGATTAAGGTGCAGACCACTGTGCTCGGGTTGTTCGCTTAGATGGTGTCTTGCTAACTTTTTGGCCTCAAACTGCAATCCTTCTGATGTCCACCTCCAAAATAGCTGGAATTCCTGGTGTGCACCATTACACCTGGACCTCCTAATTTTATTTTCCTTTTTTTCCTCAGAATTTTCTTTATGGGAATTCTTTAATTATGAATTCCACTTCTTACCAGATACAGGTATTTCACTTTTGATACTGATAATGTGTGTTTAATTTTTTTCTCTGTCAGGATTACTAGAGATTGTTAATCTTTCCCCAAAATTCAATTTCAAGCTTTGATTTCTCCACCATTTCATTTTCATTGATTTCTGCTTTATTTTTATTTCCTTTATTGTACTTACTTGGAGGTTAATAACTGTTCTTTTTCTAGCTTATATAGTGGAAGCAGAGATCATTGATTTTACACACCTTTCTAATTTTCTAAACTAGTTCTTCAAAGCAGTTAAGTTTCTTTCTGAGAAACACATTAGCTAAATCTCACAAATTGTGATATGCTGTGTTTTTATTATCATTCAGTAGAGAATATTAATTTTTCTTCTATTTTGGGGGGATCAGTTAGAATTAGTTTGAGTTCAGGGCTTCGCATTTGTTAGGCAAATGCTTTACTGCTTGAACCACTGCCAGTCTTGTGATTGTGTTGTTTTGAGGTATGGAACACATGTGACATGTGAAACTGGCCTTTTTATATTTGCTTATTTTTTTGGCAGTTGTAGGGATCAAACCTAGGGCTTCATGCATGCTAGGAAAGTCGCTATCACTGAGCTCTAGTTTTTTTTTTTTTTTTTTTTGCAGTACTGGTTTGCACTCAGGGTCTCATGCTTGTTAGGTAGGCAGTCTACCATTTAAGCCACTCTGCCAGCTCCCCTGACCTTTTTTGAGACATGGACTCACTACATAGCTCAAGCTGGCCTCAAATTTGCAATTTTCTTGTCTCTCCTCCCAAGTCCTGGTATTGTAGATGTGCACCACCATACCTGGCTCAGCCTCATTTGTGTACATATACTCAATGTACATGTACAATCACATGTGTGATTATTTGCACAATGAAGATTTTTCAGAATATACCCTCATCGTTAATTGCCACATGACTATAAAAACAGCGAATAGAAAATTCCTAAAATGTGACCCAATAAGCCTTAAATGACTTAATTAAAAGATGGCTCAAGGGCTGGAGACATGGCTTAAGTGGCAGAGTGCCTGCCTTATTCAGTAAACAGAAAGACCTACTTGAAAGTTAACTCAAGAAACAGTAAAACTGCCATGTGCTGGTGGCTCACAACTGCAATCGTAGCTACTCGGGAAGCAGAGATCAGGAGGACCTAGGTTCAAAACCAGCCCAGGCAAATGGTTCAGGAGACCCTATCTCAAAAATACCCAACACAAAAAAGGACTGGTAGAGTGGTTCAAATGGTAGATTGCCTGCCTAGCAAGTATGAGGCCCCAACTTCAAATCTGAGCACTGCCCCCCTCCCCCAAAAGAAACAGCAAAATTACTTCAGGTCTTTATGTCAAAATCTAAGGTGTTTAGAAAACTTACAAGGCAGATTTTCCTGTGCGGGGATCTATATAGGTGGTTGTTCTTCTGTTGTGGTCAACAAAATACGGAACTCCATCTACTGTGAATCTCATTTCCCAGCCTTCAGGTAAGGGCTTTTCATTTAATTGACTATAAAACATTGGGAAAGAAATGTGAACATATAAAAAACATTAAATACTTTTTTGCCAAGTACAGAAACTAAAAATATCCATAATTGTAGTGTAAAATATTTTAGAAAACCATTTAGATCCTTATTTTTGGTTGTATACTGGACATCTCTATCTGAATACCCTACAAACACATTAAGCTTACCATCAACAACATAAAACTCAATTAACACTCAGTCTTGCACCATATTCTTGGCTATGTCCCGCCATCTATCTGACACCCCACCTTAAACATTGATGGTAATTAAGCTCTGCCATTCTGCCTTACAAGTCTGCATATTCACCCCTTATTTTCAACCCCAACACTACCCTTGCTCTGGCTTTACTCATCTCTAAAAGGTTTTCCTGTCTCTAGTCCCTCTATGGTCCTTTTTGTTCTCTCTCCTTCTCCCATCTCTTCCCCTCCCCATTCTGATGGTTCTGGGGATGGATCCAATGCCTATTGAATGTGGGGCAAGAGTACTACCACCAAGACCAGACTTTACTCATATACTGATATTGCTAACAGTTTTTTGTTTTTATTTTTTGCAGAAGTGAGGGGTTTGAACTCGGGGCCTTGCATTTGTTCGACCACTTGAGCCACAACCCAGCCCTTTTCTGCTTTAATTATTTTTCTGATAGGATCTCACATTTTTGCCTGGGGCCAGCCTTGGACAGCAATTGTACTAACACCATCCTCCCAAGAAGCTGAGATTACTACACCAGGCCTCCCCTTTTTTAATAGTTTTTTTTTTTTTTTTTTACTCTGAAACCTCTGTGATCCTGGGTAATCTCTCTAAACTTTGGTTTCTTTATCCACAAAACAGAGAAAACAATGTCTATGTAAAGAGACTATCTGGGAAATACACAAGTAAAAATATTAGTCTAAAGTAAGCCCTCAAATTGTAATTATTCTTCATCTTCCTACTATTATAGATTGATCATTGTCTTCAAGTCTCTCTGAAATACTTCCTGAATACTGCTAGTACATTTATTATATTTCAGGTTGTGTGATAGTAGTAACTTTCTACTTTACAAATATTATGAGTTTTAAAAAGAATAGGAACTAGATTATAAGGCAATAGTGATTTAAAATGCTATACACTAAATAACTGAGATATCAGTATTTACAAAAACACTAGTGAACCTAACAACTATATTTTTACATTTCACATTATTATACAACTGAGTAGGGAGCTATTGCAAACCTCTTTTGCTATCTTTTTTGTATTCTGACATTAGGGCAACCAGTATTTTTGGTTGGTTAGGTATAATAAATGTTGAAAATTTTATTCATGTGTGCCAGTTCATTTTTTTCTATTTTTTACAGCTTCAATTTTCTCATCTGGTAGGCTTGTTATGAGCAACAACAATGGAAATGTTTAAGGTCACATTGGAAAAGACTGTCTGGGTTGTAGGCATTCAGGCTCACTGCTGAAGAGAGTCACTGTTGATCTTTGGATTGTCATTTTCCTCAAGTGTAATTGAGAAGAGTAAGAAATACCATTGTCTTGAATCAGTATTTTGTAAACTACATCAAAAGGTTAAGAATATTTAACTGTATTCATATAACTGATAAAATTATCAGAAATGGAGAAAAGAGGTTGCTTTCTGTTCAGTACCAAGAACCAGCTCATTTGTACTTATTACAAAAAGGTGACTCAAGAAACAGAATTTTCTTTTCCTTTTTGCAGTGCTTGGAATCAAACCCAGGACCTCATGCACTATACCACTGACCTACATTCACTTCCAGAGACAGAATTTTAGAGAGGAATTAAAAACTTTAAATTTTTTTATAAAATATATTTGTTATATACAATAAGTGCACTACAAATACCAGCATTTGTTAGTATGAGAAATAGATGTTATTTGTTTTGGTTTTTTGAGATAGGGTCTCATTATATAGAGCAGGGTGGCCTTGACCTCATGATCCACCTGTCTTAGCCTGGATTACAGAAGTTCGTCACCATGTCTGCTCAGGGATAGATATTTCAAATTTGAATCATACCTTAAAACATAAGCTACTAAAACTTTTGAATAATGGAGTATGTGTTGTGAAGAATTAATCATACACAAAAAGAGATCTGATCTTTGTCCTCAACTACTGGAAAGTGATCTGCCAATAGGAGTGTGACTACTATGAGTGCTTTTCTTTTTCTGGAGGCTTTGACCAATGGACAGTCAACAATATGACTAATGAAGGAGGCTTAGGAGATGTGACATCAGTTCTGTTTCCTGGAGAACAACAAGCCAGGACTTACCCAATCTTGGATAGGGGATGAAAGAAAAGATGAAGACAAAAGGTCAGCCAAAGGGGCAATAGGTAATCAAGGTCAAATAAAAAAATCTGGATATAGAAAGTTTCTAGTTGGCAATATTCAACATAAGTGTGTATTATTCTATATCAATCATGGGTATCTGGAACCTTTTCAGACTCTTTTCTATGAAATTTTCCTCTTTCTGGTTCTACTTTATAGTCTAACTCTATAATAAATGTGACTGTGAGTATAATAGGTTTCAGTGAATTCTGAGTGTTATCTAGTCAAACACACACACACACACACACACACACACACACAAAGTATTGGTGGCACTGGGATTTGAACTCAGGGCTTCATGCTTACAAAGCAGGTGCTCTACTGCTTAAGCCATTTTACTCTGGTTATTTTGGTGATGGGGGTCTCTCGAACTATTTACATGGGCTGTCCTCAAACCTCAATCCTCCCAGTCTCAAGCCTCCCAAGTAGCTAGGATTATAGGTATAAACCACAGGCAATTTTATACATATTTTGAGACAGAATTTCATTAGGCAACCTAGGCTGCTGTAGATCTTGCAATCCCTCCTGCCTAAGCCTCCCAAGTATTGGGATTTTAGGTATGAACCATCATATATGGCTCTTTAGTAAATTATTCTATATGAGAGCAGTTGTGGCAGAATCTGCTTAATTGGTCTGAAGTAAGAGAGGTCTTAGGACAATCAAACTTGCGGTTAATGTCTAAACTGACTATACATTTTGCTAAACACTTTACAGAATGTAACCTACTGGCAGTCTGATAAAAGACATAGTATTACAGACTATTAAGAGTTGAATGTGCCTCCTTTCCAAATGCTTAATCTAAGTCCTAGCCGATAGTACTTAAGGATGTGGCTTTATTTAGAAACAGAATAGATCATATTAGAGTATGGTGAATCACTAATTCAATAGAATTGACATTCTTATAAAAAGAAGAAATTTAGAGAAAGTCATATACCAGAATAAAAACATATGAAGACTGACACAAGCCAGGAAACTAAAAAAAGTTAGAAGAGAGGTCTGGAACAGGTCCTTCCCTACTGCTTTAAGAGGGAGTATGTTTAAAAAAAAAAAAAAAAAAGAGGGAGCATGGTGTTACTGACACTTTTGTCTCTGACTTCTAGTCTCCAAAATTTTAAGATAATAAATTTCTGTTGTTTATACCACTCCATTTGTGGTGCGTTTTGTTAAACTTGCCCTAGCAAACTAATTAAGTGGACTAACATATAATTTTATTAAGATAAGCAATTGTAATGGCCCAAACAATGTATACACATGAATAAACGAATAAACTTTTTAAAACCCTCAAATATATTCATTTTATCCTCTTTAACCCAAAACCTCCTTTGAAAAAAAAAAAGACAAGCAATTGTACATAGTTATCAAGACATTAAACCAAACTTATGATAATGTCAACTTCTTATAATGATGTCTGTAAACAGTATTTTGCGATATCTGCAACAACTATAGATACTTTAAAAAACCTGTATGTTTTATTGGTACGAAAAAATCATTCAGATTTTTCTTACTCTCAAGAAACTTTTTTTCTCTTTCAAAGTATATAGGTGATTAATGACTAAGGCCTTTGGGGAAAGAAAATGCTAAGCATTACTAATTCTAGCATTACTAATTCTACTAATAATGGAAAAACATAATAAATTTCAGATTCAGGTCAGTGTAACCAACTTGTATTTTTTTGTCCCCTAGGTCACATACCTTGAATGCTATCCAGTTATGCCAGATTAAGAAACCCTGCTTCAGAATTACTAATCTGGTTTACTACTAGCATATACACACATATATATGTGAATATTTTAATGTAAGTATATTCTCATGTATGAGTGAGTTTTTTTTCCTATTCTCAAGAAAATCTTAATCTTATCTTAATCTTATCTTTTTCTTACACAAAAGTAGTAATTTTTCTATTCCCAAAGTATGTAGGTGGTTAATACTTAAGGCCTTTGGGAAAAGAATATATAAATGAATCAGAAATAGGTAATCTTTTAATAACTTTTAATAACTAAAAGTTCTTACCCTTGACTTCTGGGGTCTTCCCATTGTGTAATTCGAGTGTTGTGGTTGACAAAATATACTCTGCCATTGTTATCAGTTCTCTTCTCTTCATAAACAAAACAAAAAGTACATTTATGTTATCATATGACTTTTTCCTCAAACTAAAACAAAACAAGCTGAATGCGCCCATGTCCCCATTTCTCATTGCACTGTTAAAAATTCTGTAGTTTCTACATCACATCTTTAAAAAGGCTTAACTTATTAAATGCATACACTTACTAAAGTTACAGAAATATTATTACATCCTAGAAGCTAAACAAACTTAATTCACAAACTCCCCTCCACAGGACCTTTCAAGCTCCAAAAAACTAAGAGCAGTAAAATAAGTTACTTAGCTTTTCACACATGACCTCTTTTGTTTTTTGTTTTTTCGGTGGAGATGGGGTAGAACCCCAGTTCTTTTTCATAGTAGAATAGCCTTAAGAGGTAAGGTAGTTTTACTTTTACTCTGAAGATAAAGAAAACTCAAGCAATTTAAGTGATATACTCCAAGACTCAGAATTAGTAGCACAGATAAGACAGAAACTTAGGTCTCCACTGAGGGATTGTTTTTTGCATACTGCATCATCCCATTTCTTAAAATATAAACTGGTAGGGGAGGATGTTAACTTCATTGTCCTTTGTATATGTTTGGCATTATTCAACTAGGACATATTTATTTTGTGGTACTAGGGATTGAACCCAGGGCTTCATGGGCCTCAGGCATGCTACGCAAGAGTCCTACTATTGAGCTATATCCCTAGGCCTCAGTGTTTTGTTTTGTTTTCAATTAAATTCTATTCCTTAATATACCTAATTCTAAAATTCTAAATATGTATAGTAACCTTCTATACATACACTGGCTCAGTCATTTGATTACTGCATCAAAAGCTGCTACATTTTTCCCGTCAACCTCTTGCTTTGGATTATCCTTCTTTTCTTCTTCCTGTTGTACAAGTTTCCCTTGCTTTCCTGAGCTTTCCCCATTAAGGTTTAAAAGACATGTGGATATCATTTTTTCTTTTAATAAACAAATGAAACAGCTTGGAAATATCAATATTAAGCTCTATTATCTTTAAGCTACTAATTTCTCTGTTCTATTACCAACTAATTCTTCAAAAACCTGGACAATTCCTGAATCTGAATTCTTTTGTAGTTGGTCAACATGTTTCCAAATATATAGTTGATGTACTATATAAAGTTGGAATGAATTCAAACTTTCTAAAAAGCATGGTTCTCTTAGTGCCGCCAAAAAAAAAAAAAACAAAACCTTAAAAAACATGGTTCTTGGGAGGGGGTGGGGGCAGGGGGGAGAAATGAACCAAGCCTTGTATGTACATATGAATAATAAAAGAAAAATGAAAAAAAAAAAACATGGTTCTTAAGAATGAATAATTATTAAACAAAAATTTAAACTTAATGCCATGTTGACAAAGCTAACTTTCATGTTCTATGAAAAACTGATACTCATTTCTCAAATAATACATATTTAAATCCTTTTTATATTTCTTTTTTCTCCCCCCTCCCCTCCTATATATTTCTTTAAGCAGGATATTACAGGATTATCCAAATTATACCTTGTCTACTAGTATATAAAAACAAATTGGCAATAATTATATTTCTACCACAGTTTGCAGGATTTCAAGTAGCAGTGATGTTGAGTTACAATGGATATACTAGTGAATAAGTAACATGAATCTATTCCTGACATCTCAAGCTAAAAAAAAAAAAAGGCACCCAGAGTGCTAGTGCTATAGCTTACACTTGTTACTTTATGGCAATGTAAGTTCATGTCTTGGTAGTCACATTAAATTTAAAATTTTTAATTTACTTACAAAACCTAGAATTACTTTGTTTAAAAACATATCCAAATAAATTTATATATATAAAGTTTACATGTTAACTTATATATGTGCGTATATATGAAATTCTTTTTTTGTGTGTGGTACCAAGGACTGAACCCAGGGTCAGTACTCTACAAATGAGCTATACCTGTAGCCCCCCTCAAATAATACTGAACATAACTGAGCACATTCATATTTTATCTACTCTGTAAATTCAGACTTCAAGGCCAGAGATTTTTCCCTTCACAAAAAAACATAAGGCAAGGTAAAGTCAACAGCAAACTTGTTCCCATGTATGTTCTAATTATAGTCTACATTTCTTGGGAAAGGCTGTAAAAAGCATAATTTCAAAGGGTAGACAAACTTGCAAACTGAAGGCTGATCTACTTAATGAGAGGAAGTAGTGTGGTTACAGAGCTGATTTCTTACTTTGACAGAAAAAAAATTATATAAATAATACTGAACTTTTTGACCATAAAACCCAAATGCACATCAGAGCATTTCCTGACTTAATGAATAAAACAATAAAAAAGAGCTTATTGCTGTATTATGTACTCTTTCCTAACAGTTCTGAAAATGAGAAAATATATAATAATTGATGGGTAAAGCCAGCTATACAAAGCCCTAGAAGACTATATTTCTGAACCAAAAGCATTCTTTCTTCTCTAGCCTCTATACTGTGCATGTGCTAAAAATTCTTCACTGTCAGCTTGTTAAGGTGGTAATGTCCAGTACCTTGAGCACATGAAAGTTTGAGAGGGCAACAAAGTTGGATTTAAGTTTACATACTGTAAGAAAAATAATGCTATCAATCTCAGAATGGAAACTGTGAGCTTATAGACTATAAGCTGAGATTCTATTTCCTGAGACAACATGGAAAGTAAGTTGGTTGTAACTCCTCATCTGATACAAGAACCAGTGGTTCTACAAATAAAAAATACCTGCTAGAGACAGTGAGTCATAAAGCAATGCTCAACCTGAGAAGCAGGACAATCATGAACATTTAGGAAGGGGTCAGCACTTCACCTTTCAATTAGTGTGAACCCTTCTTGCAAGGCAAGAAGCTAATTACCTAAATAACCTGGGTATTCGGAGGCAGTAAGTAAAAAAAACTATTGTTGGCTGATGTAAAACTGAAAAATATTAGGATAATGATAAATATGAAAGGCAAGGACCAACTTGCAGGAAAACTTTTCTATAAAGGCAACAGTGTATAATTCAGACTTCTGTGAGCAAGGGGCAATTTTCCTACAGCTGCTCCAGAGGATGAGTAAAAATAAAGAGTCTGTTTCTGACCATCACACCACGAAGCAGGTTATGGCTTTTCTGCATTAAATTTATAGTGGCGGGGTGTGACAAATGACCTTCAGATATGCCCTTTTAGTGCACCAATTTGTTATTCTGTAACACAGACATAAAACAACTCTAGAAATAAAGCTTGCAAAGTATCTGTGTCTAGGAATGCAATCTGACAGGTCAGGTTCAATAGGTCTCTTAAAGGTAACATCCCCTCTTCTAAAGATAGTCATATCAACACATATTGGACACTCTAAGACACGAAGCTTTGGTGAAAACAGGAACAACTTTGAAATGTACTTCCTTTGTTATAAGACAGGAACGAAAACAGTTCTAAGTACTACCTAATACATTATTTACCTTTTTGACCCACAGAAGTGTTTGGAAGGTAAATAATGTAAGAACAATGGGAGTTCTCATAAAAGAATTATACAACCAGTCTTATTTATTGCCTAGATTCATATGATCTTGATAAATCAAAATTTTCGTTACTTATTTTATGACCAGTATTTCCCAATAAGAGTATCTGGAAATATCACCTGAAACATCAGAATTAATCATAATATTATAAAGTATCTGAAGCCCTTGCTTCTGTAACTGTCTTTTCTTATCTGTTTTCCCTTTCCTATGCTCTCTTTGGCTTTTATTCAAAATTGTTTCTATATAGCTATCTTTATTCTGTAATCCTACTACATTAATATGATGTTACAAAATGAAACCTGATAGGATACCCCATCTTAAAGTCTGTTAACAAAATTTTAATAACTAAAGTGTTAAATATACTTAATAACAGAGCATACTTAGCAACATGAGTATGCTCCATGATGTAGGACACAAAGTCGCCACACGCCACCCCTTACAGCTTCTCCTTTAAGATAATGCCAATTCACTGTTCTTTAAGATAATGCCAACACAATCAAATTCTGAACTGTGCTCTAGAAGAACCAGCATGATGACATTTTAAAAGATTTTTTTATTTTGAAACAATTATTACTTATAGGATGCTGTAGAAATTATACAGTCTCAACATAGTCTTTAACCAGTTTTTGCAATGGTGACATCTTAGTAGTACAGCACCAAAACAAAGAAGCTAACATTGATACATTACTGTTAGTGGCAGACTGTTCAATGTTCACCATCTTTGAAAGCTAAATTAATGTGGATACATACATAATTCTATACATTTTGATCCCAAGTACAGATTCACGTAATCACTACTACCCTCAAAATACAGAATTTTTCCATTACCACCTAAGAACCCCCTTATGCCACTTCTTGTTTTTCATCTACCTCCCACCTCCCCTGCCCACTAACAACTGCTAACCTATTATCCATCTCTAGTTTTGTCATTTTAAGAATGCTATATGAATTGAATCATACAGTATTGCTATACTTTCAGTGTGTCTTCCAAGGGTTCTTGTGTTACCAGCTTGGTCCTCAGTATGGTGATACTGGAAGAGGTGTACCTTTAAATCATTAAGTCATTGGGGAGTGCACTAAATAAACTTCTTTAGCTTATAAAACACCTTAACCTCAGGTATTTATAGTAACAGAAACTGGAATAATGTAATATATAATTAATCTTGTGAAATCGTGACTTTCTTTGCTAAGCGCAATGTCCTTAGGGTCCATCCAGATTGCTATATCAATAATCCATTCCCTTTTTCATTGCTGAGTAATCAGTATTTTAAACTTTATAAGAGGAAAATACTAAATTCCAATAAAACTTAATTTAATGCCTCAGCTTAGAATTTTAATACCTACCTCATATTCTGATTTAACTGATATACCTAAAAAGAATTCCCAGTTATCTACTTAAACAAGAGTAAAGTATCATCCATAAATCACTCTCATTCTCTCATTCACTCTCTCTACCATTCCTTCCCTCCATTTATTTATTGGCAGTGCTGGGGATTGAACCCAGGGCCTTGTGCATGCTAGACAGGCACTTTATACCACTAAGCTACATCACCTTACAGAATTTAATGAAAATCTCATGTGACTTACCCCATCCAGGTGGCAGAGGACCAAGGGGATCAAATTCTTTACTTTGTGATGTAGCAAACAAATCTTGATTCTAAAATGAAACAAACAAAAAAAGGTGAAACTAACACAAACAGATTTTCAGAACAAGCTCATGATTTCTAACATGCCTTCACTAATCATATACAACACATATTAAAAGCTGGGCCACGCCTGTAATCCTAGCTACTCATGAGCAGAGATCAGAAGGATAGTGGTTCGAAGCCGGCCCAGGCAAATAGTTCATGAGACCCCATCTCGAAAAACCCCTTCACAAGAAAAGGGGCTGATGAATATGATACAAGGTATAAGCCCTGAGTTCAAGCCCCAGTACCACAAAAAAAAAAAAAAGGACTGGAGATGTAGCTTAAGCAGAAGAGTACATGCTTTGCAAGCATGAAGCCCTGAGTTCACCCCCCACCCCAAGAAGTGCTGTTGTAAAGAACTCACATTTTAGAGCAATATACATTATTCTGGTTTAAAAATGCCTTTTAAAAACCCTTGTAGGGAGGGGGGGGATAAAGGAAAAAGAGGGGTTGAATCTACCTAAGAAATACTATAAGCACTTTTGTAAATGTACCTACAGTCCAACTACAATATGCTAATAAAAAAAAAAAACTTGCAAACATTATCTAACATTCAAAATTATTTGAAATTAAAATAGTACATAAATACATAATTCTTACCTCCAAAATGACCAATTTTTTGTTTTGCTACAAATTTTACAATACTTGTAATAAAAGAATTAGAAAAGCATATAAAACCCTCTCAAAAGTCACTGATGATACCAGTACCCTGAGTCATCAGATGGTTGAAAAACATCTTACATGTGTACTGGAAAACAGAAGATGAAATACACAAGAACATGGGACATATATAACATTTTGAGAAAAGAACTGGAGTAGAAAAAGCAGGCTGTCAAATAAGTAAAAGGAAAGAATTATAACTGCAAAGATTTCATGAGCCTAGAACCATGTAGAAGACTTTCTGAAGTTCCATGTGCCATTATCACATTGGCGCAGAGAGGGGTTTGACTAGGTAAACACAAAAGGAAAGCAAGAATCAACTTTTGGAAGAAGAAAATCAAAATTCATACTGACTCTTTGTAGATTTAATGATTATAGTGTTTTTTTGGGGGTTTAAATGTATAATATTTTCAAAATAATTTTATTATGGAAAAAAGTAAAACAGAACCAAGAAGTCTATATAATCCACACCAAAATTTAACAGTTAAGACCTCATTTTTTAAATCTTTTTTCCCTATTCTTTTCCAAAGCGACAATCAAACATCATTTCAACTTACATATTTCAAGCACACCTCTCTAAAATTTGTAGACATTTTCTTTTTTTTTTGGCGTCACCAGGGTTTGGAACTCGGGACCTCTCGCTTGCTAGGCAGGAACTCTTACCACCCGAGCCACTCTGCCAGACCTAGACATTTTCTTCCCTCCCTCCCTCTCTCCCTACCTGTGGTGGTGGTTTGAACTTAGGGCTGTATACTAGCTGGCTATATGCCACCATGCCCAGTTCCTTTTTTCTTTTCTTTTTGATTGAGGAGGAGTCTTGTGAACTTTCTGCCCAGGCTGGCCTTGAAATACTCTTCACCTCCAGAGTAACTAGGATTACAGGCTTGAGCTACTGTGACCTGCTGACATTTTCTTACCCAGAAAAGTATCATTATCCCATCTAGAAAAAAATGTTAATTTTTGCTATCTTACATCTAGTCCATAATTAAATGTCTGATTGGTTATTTGTTAAAATCAGGATCCAAATAAAGTTCTAACATATTTGGTTGGATCTCTTAAATTTCAATCTACAGCAGTGCCCCTATTGCCTTACTTTTTTTTTTGGCCCATGTCACCTGTTACAGAAACTAGTATTAAGTTTTAAAGAATATGAGAGATTTTCCATTTCTGATTTAACAGTTCTTCAAACATAGAGCTGTCAAGAACTAGCCTTGGTCTACCTTACAGATGCAATGATAAAAAGCAGAGTAGGGAGGTCATGTTATAAATTAGGTCTCTAAAAAAGTTTGGCGCATGATGAGTTATATGAGTAATTCCTGGGGTTTCTCTCTCTCTCTCTTTTTATTTTAAGATAGGGTCTTGCTATGTTGTACAGGTTAGCCTGGAACTCTTAATACTCCTGCTTCAGACTCCTGGGTACTGGGGTTATAACATATGACGCTATGCCCAACCTGTTTTGATAATTACTTTTTTTTTTTTCTGGTACTGGGGTTTGAACTCAGGACCTCACACTTGCTAGGCAAGAAATGTATCACTTGAGCCATTCCCCCAGCCCTTTTTGCTTCAGTTATAGGATCTCATGTTTTTGCCCAGGCAGGCCTGGACTATGATCCCTCTATTTGGGCCTCCTGTATAGCTGGGATAGCAGAGGCATGCCACTACACCCAGCTTTTTATTGGTTAAGATGGGGGTCTCCTCTAACTTTTTGGCCATGCTGGCTTGGAATCGTGATCCTTCCTATTTCTGCCCCCCAAATGACTGGGATTATAGATATGGGCCACTATGCCTGGCCTTTGTTTTGATAATTCTTTAAGATCCAACCCTACTCCACAGCCTCCTCTTGGATAAACTGAGGTTGGACACAGGAAAGCGAGAATCATTACACACTAAAACACTGGGTGTATGAGTCTACTGAATTGCAGCCAGTGTTGTAGCAATGGGGTACAAAGATCACTTCATATACCTAATAAACAGAATCATTCTCAGCAACACCCAGCACCTCACCACTTTTTTAAATAGATGGTATTAGAAATGTTAAATTCATTCACTTTAGTTCACACCTTTGGCTATGTAAGGACAAAAAAGGCTATTTAAAGTTTATGCCATGTAGAACCACTCTATATCAAAACCAAAGAGTAGAATTTCAGAAAACTGCTCAGATTCTTTTGGATAGAAAAGGGAGGGGGTACGAGGGGAAAAAAGAAGCTGAGTGATGAGGTAAGCATTCTAATTCAAAGAAAGCTTCCACAGACTCTCAATACCAAGCTGGTCAAGTCTATAATAAATCCATACACATAGTAAGTGCTATAGAAAGTCATTAAATCTTTACTTTAAACAGATGACTTGCCAGGTGCCATTGGCTCAAACCTGTAATCCTGGGGCTACTCAGGAGGTGGAGATCAGGAGGATTGAGGGTTCAAAGTGAGCAAATAGTTGAAAGAACCTATGTTGAAAAAACTTGTCACAAGAAAGGGCTGGTGGAGTACCTAGCTAGCATGAGGCCCTGAGTTCAAACCTTAGTACCACCAAAAAAAAAAAAAATTAGAAGGAAAAAAAGGGCTGGTGGCGTGGCTCAAGTGGAAGAGCGCCTGCCTAGCTAGTGTGAGGCTGAGTTCAACCCCTAGTAACCACCAAAAAAAACAGGAAAAAAAAAATCTTTCTTTAAAAAGAATATTTGGGGCTGGAGGCATGTTTTAAAAGGTGAAGCATCTGCCTAACAAGTCCTGAGTTTATGTATGAATAAGTGAGTGAATACATATATACACACACATATATATACAAGTTAATGAGATAAAAAGCACATTTACACTTGTGGAGCTGAGGGAAGACAACTACTAACATTTTTCTTTTTCTTTTTGAGTAAAGTGGGAGAGTTTATTGGGACAGAAAAGTAGAAAAGAGTAGAGCTTCTAGAGCTGGGAAGGGTCCCAAGAGAGGATGCTAGAGAAGTGCCATGGTCTGTGATTTTACCCATTTTCTCCAGGATGTTGCTCAATTTCTATGCTAATTAAGTGTGCACATTTCTAAGCATCTAGTAAGTGTTGAATATATTAGGAACTTTATTTTATGAAATCCTCAAAAAAAATCTGAGGCAATTAAATATGTTATCTGTTTTATACATAAAGTAAATGAGTCTTGATGGGATTTGGTAACTTACTCAAAGTCATATAGAAAAAGTAACTGGAACTAAGATTCTAACCCAGATGTGTATGACTCCATGTCCATGCTCTTTCCACTGGACATGTGGAAAACAGTTTTAAAGGTTTTAAAGAAGGCAGGCAAGCTAGACAATTCAAAAAATTGTCAGGCATACACCAAAGGTGATCATAATTTACAAAGACAGGTGTAAAATAGCATAGAAAAAGTGAAGAGTAAGACAGGTAAGAGATAAACATTAATTTCACCTCGGAAAACCACTAAGAAGGGGAATATAGTGACATTTGCTTAGAGAAAGTGGCAAGAAAAATTGTTAAACAAATGAAAGGTATCTTAGTCATACCTAAGGAGTAAAAGAAAGTCTGCTGATAAAGGTGAACTTGTCTACATCAGTAAGTGGTAACTGCTGTGATCATGAGTTTCAGGAAATCAGCAAAAATATGGAGCAAAATTATAGAGAAAAGGAAAAAAAAAGTAATGCCTAAGGAGAAATATGAAAGTTGTTTTACTCTGATAGATTCTAACAGGGATGATACTGGCGGTGGTGAAGGCAGTGGTAATGGAGAGGGTTGGCTTCGCTTAATCTCTAGCAGAGTTGGTTTTCATCAGTTTAAGTTCTGTTATATTAAAACAAATCCATCTTGTTTGGCACAGAAATCAAATTTCTCAGAAAAACTCTTCCTTTCCACAGAGAAAAGATCTGTGATATTTTATGGCATGAGAGATTATAAAATTCCCAATGGCAAAGACTGCATAGCAAAAAAAAAAAAAAAAAAAAAAAAAGCACTAACATTTTTGTAATCTTATCATGACTATTACAATGCTACACTAAAGTGAAATATGTAAAATTTTTACCATTTCTTCCCACAAAGGAAATACTTTGGGGTTTTTACTTCATTTTATTTGTATGACACGATGTCTTACTATATTGTACAAGTTGACCTTAAACTCCTAAGTTCAATAGATGCTACCACCTCAGCATTCTGAGTACTCAGATTACAGGTATACACAACCTAGCTCCATAAAGGATTGGTTTTTTTTGTTTTTTGTTTTCGGCAGTACTAGGGCTTGAACTCAGGGCCTACACTTTGAGACACCCCACCAGCTCTTTTCTGTGAAGGGGTTTTTTAAGATAGGGTCTCTCGAACTATTTGCCCAGGCTTTGAGCCTTGATCCTCCTGATCTCTGCCTCCTAAGTAGCTAGGATTACAGGCGTGAGCCACTGGCACCCGGCTAAAGGATATGTTTTTATTCCAAAGATAATATAGTTCCAAAGCCAGAAAAATGCTTAGCGTAATCCTATAATGAATAAAATTTCTTCAGTTTCCCACAGCACCAAATAATTTATTAGGTAAATTTTAAATCTTAAGATCTATTTCAACTCCATTGCCAATTCTACATAATCAGTAACAGTCAAGTTCTCATACCAAAGGCTGTGGGTTCAATTTCCAAAACAAAAATAAAGTCAGGTTCACTGAAACTCAAGTCATCAGGTAAGGTAAAGGCAGCACTACATTTAGAAATGTTTTAATTGTTTTCAAACTACATGTGTTTATTTTTTTTCTATTCTTTTAGTTATAATTTTAAGTTGTCCTAACTTTTTACCTTTAGTTTTTTTGTTTTGTTTTTGACATTAACAAGGAAAAGGGAACTGGATTTCAGGAAATTACAGAAAAAAGAAGATCACATTTACAGAAAGTCTAAAAATACCATTTGTACCTTCTTTTTGTGCTTTACATGACATATGCAGGAAAGATTTAAAAATAATACATTTTGGGTGGTGGGTTTTCTTGAGATAGAGTCTCTTGAACTATTTTCCAGGGTTGGTTTCAAACCTCAATCATCCTAATCTCTACTTCCTGAGTAGCTAGGATTACAGGCATGAGCCAGTGGCACCCAGGTTACACATTTCTTATGTAAATAGTATTTAAATGCTAGAAACAGAAACCACTGGCATAATAAGAAAAGAAGGTGAGCATGGTGGTACATGCCTGTAATTCCACTACTCAGGAAGCTGATGCAGGAGGACTGCAAGTTCAAAAACAGCCTGAGATATATAGTGAGACCCTATCTCGAAAAATCAGCAGGGCACTGGTGGCTCCAGTCTGTAATCCTACCTACTAGTAGAATGAGAGAGGGAGGACTGTGGGTCAAAGCCAGCTCAGATGAAGAGTTCACAAGTACCCATCTCCAAAATAACCAGAGCATGGGGCTGGCGGAGTGGTTCAAGTGGTAGGGTGTCTGCCTAGCAAGCATGAGGCCCTGAGTTCAAACCCCAGTACTGCTAAAAAAAAAAAAAAAAGATGATGATAATATGTACACATACACGACTCCAAAATAACCAGAGCAAAATGGAAATGCAGCTACAGTGGTAAAGTGCCAGCTTTGAAAACTCAAGACCCAACCCCACAAAACAAACAACAACAACAACAAAAAACCAACAAATCAATAGGCTGCTCACCCCATAAATGAATCTCTGGTTAAACTGCTGCATTGCTCCTTGAAGTTGACTACGTTGTAGCTGCCACTGTTCATAGTTTCGGACGGATTCCAATGTTGGCCTCTGCCATGTTGTTGTTCTTGTGAAATGGTCAACATAATAAATACGTCCCATATTGTCAACCCGCCGTTCCCAGCTAAATCAGAACAAAAACAAACTAACTCAACAAACTATGAAACAGACTACTTCGTTTCCCTTGAGAGACTACTTCAAATTTACCTCAAGTCTTTTGTAATTTTCAAAATGATCTGTAAGTGAACTTGAAAGAGATGTTTCTAAAAAATTTCATCTCTAAAAAATTCTAAAGATGCATTAATTAGGTCTTTAAAATATGTATACTTAGTAAGTTTAAATGTCATTAAGAAAAACATTCCTGTTTCTTCCCAATAATCTTTTTACTGTTGCAATCACAATATGGACACAAATTGTACATATAGATTTTCACAGTTATCAAAAAGCATTTCTGCACAAGAATAGAATCATCTTTTAACTTACTTATATTTAATCATTTAAACATTGATATAGTAACTTGATTTCTACCTAGTTGATTGTTTAAGATTGCTTCCAATAATCTGATATTATAAATAATAAAATAATAAATGCCTTTAATAAAGTAACCTTTTTTCTTCCTTTGAATTATTTCTTCAGGATAAATTTCCTAGGGAGAATTACTGAGGATATATATATACACATATATGTATATATACATATTTATATTTACTGAGAGCTTTCTATAAGAGTTGAAACTAATTTATACTATTACCAGCAATGTTATGGGGTAAAATTCCTCACCAATGCATGATATTATCTGCTAATTCAATAAGCAAACAGTGTCTTTTAGACATGTATTTCTTTAAGATTACTAGCAAGACAAAATATTTTTCCATGGTTGCTACAGATTGCCCCGAAATAAAAAATAATCTTTTTCTTTCAATTATTTTACATAACATAAATGTTAAATGCTTAATATTATGCATCAATATATTCTTAGGTGCTCACTTCGGCAACACATATACTAAAATTGTAATGATACAGAGAAGATTAGCATGGTCCCTGCGCAAGGATGACATGCAAATTCGTGAAGTGTTCCAAAAAAACAAAAAAAGTTCCACATTAAAAAAAAAAAAAATATATATATATATATATATATATATATATATATATTCATTCTTAGTTTTTGCAACTATTTTGCAATGACTTTATTTTTTTACATAATAGGGGCTTTATCATAATATATGATAAGTGCTATAATATTCAGCTAAATAATTACACTTAAAGTAACTAATCTCAAAACTTTGTGGCTCTGAGCAAGTAAATGGTTCCGAAAGGAAAATGTGAAGAACAAGAACTATGGAATCTTTAGATTAGCTATGAGTGAAATAGAAATCATTCATCATGCCAGGTGTGGTGGCACACGCTGGTAATCCCAGCATTCTTCTTTCTAGTTTGCATCTACCATAAAACAAAATACAGAGACAGGGAAGGGGAAGTCAGAATATAAGCAAGATTTTGTACAGATACAACATGTACTTTTGAATAAACACATTTTTCTGTTTTTGTTCAGATACTTACCCAGGAGGCAGAGGTTCAGGTCTGTCCCATGTTGTTCTTTTTTCAACATGATCTACATAATAAACTCGTCCATGCTGGTCCACTCTCTGCTCCCAACTTCAACACAAAATTAATTTAAAAAGACTAGTAAAGTCATTTGTGCTGGTTTGGCTTTTTAATCTTATCTTTGCTTTTTCACTTTAAATGACCATACTACAGAACTGAGAAATAGGAGCATGGCAGTGATAACGAACACCAAATAGAACTAAAATAAGGTCAAGAAATGTCCTCCTCTGAAGGTTACATGCAGAGAATGAGATTTCTTCTGCACAAGTATCTGCACTAGGAGACAACATGTATATTCAAAGAGGCTGGAGGAAACTGTTAGTGCAGCTGAATGGTAGAGTGAGTGCCTAAGATGCACAAGGCCCTGGGTTTGATCCTTAGCACTGACACAGAAATAAATAAAATTTTAGAAATCAAATAAAGTTTGTATGCTTTAAAAAAGGGGGATGGGGGTGCTTGAAGTCAGCCCACCAATCAGAACAGGTTATACTCAGGACTTAAGTGGAAAAGAATGCTACCATTAATATTATTAAACCTGAACAAAGACTCAACTGACTGAAAGGCAACAGTCTGATTGGATTCTAGAAAAATTAAAATCAAGGAACAAACCTTTAGCAGACATGCCCTTTGCACAATACAGGATGGAAATTGGCAGACTGGCCAACTGGAGTACTTTTAATATTCTTGGAAGGTTTATCTATCCCCAAGGAGAAGACAGAAGTAAACCATCGAAACTTGGAAGTACCACCAGACACTGGTGGTTCATACCTTGTAATCCTAGCTACTTGGGAGGATGAGATCGAGAGGATCATGTTTTGCAGCCAATCTGAGCAAAGAGTTCAAGAGACCCCCATCTCCAAAACAAACAGCAGGTGTGGCTCAAGTGGTAGAGTACCTGCTTTATAAATGCGAAGCCCTGAGTTCAAATCCCAGTCTCACCAAAAAAACCCCAAAAAACTTGGAAGTACCAATGATACTTCCAAGGATACTCAGTTTGTTTTTAAGCATTAACAGCCTTTGAATTTAGCTTTTTACAGCCATTTAAAAAAATTAAAAATTAAAAATAAAACAAAAAAATCATTTCAAATGAAAAACTTAACTTTCCATAAGGAAAATAGCCTAGCAATCAAAGTATTATCTGTGTAGCAATTAAAATTCTCATTATGAGTTTAGTAATTTATCAGGCAAGCAAATTATTTATTTATTAGCATTCTGAGATGTGGATTAATTCGAATGTTATACTATAAATACATAAAAATTATAATTAAGACTAATTTTTAAAATAAGTAGAAAACAAAATTATCTGTTAGTTTATATAATGACTGTGATGAAACAATTTTGATTTTAAAAGGTTTTACTTTACTCCCTAAAAGAAAAAGCGATCTCAATTAGTGACTATTACCTGACATTGGTCAATGATCTATGGGTCAGGGTTCTTCAAATAAAAAAAAAATTCTTAAGCTGAGTGTGATGAACATTCCTGTAATCCCAGAAGTCAGAAGCTGAGGCAGGAGGTTTCTGAGTTTGAGGTCACCCTAGGCTGTCTCAAAAAATAGAAAAAGTAGGGAGTATGGCTCAAGTGGTAGAGTGCCTGTCTAGCAAGCCTAAGGCCCTGGGTATATACCCCAGCACCACAAAAATAAAAAGAAAAAACAAAATTCTTCTATTTTGCATTGGAAATATTTCAAATGTGGTGAAATTTTCTTTTAACTCCAGATTTCCAAAAGTCCAATTACAACTGCTTCAAGACAGTTAATGAAAGAATGCAGTATTGTTTTATTAATGAGGACATGCAGAAACCTAAAGAAAACAAATGTTAGCCAAAAAAAGAGTACTTACCCAGGTGGTAGGGGAGCTTGAGTTACAGGATTTAATGGCCTAGGCCCTGAGCCTCCAGATATAGTAAGAGGAATTATTAATCCAGATGTTGCTCCTTCAGATATATTTGTAGTTGTACTTGTTGGTGGTAGAGAGCCTGTACTAGATCCATCACTTTCGGAAGTGGCAGATGGTGAACCATTGACCGATGCTATAAAAGATGTGCAGAGCATAAAAAAAAGAATCTTTTACTTTCTGAAATCTAAAATCAGGATAGAATTTTATTGAAAAAATAAAAAGGTAATAAAAAAACTTAAAATGCAGGTAAAAATTAAAGCGAGGTAGTCAATGTTCCCACTTAATAGGCTTGTTCACAACTTTTTAGTTTCTGTCTACCCTATGTCTCATTATTGATTACAGATTCTAATTTTATGATGCCACAGGAAATAAAAATGATTTTACAGATACACTGACTTCTGCAGTGCTGGTGATCACTGGGGCATGACTGGGTAAGCACTCTTCATGGAGCTACACTCTTAAACCAATAAAAAACATTTTGAATAGGACACCATTAGTATTCCTGGTTATTTTTTAAGTGCATTTAGTAATTTTCCACATCCTTTAACCAGTCTTCTCTGTGAAATCCTGAAGATTAAAGACCAATTTTTGATGTTTATAGTATGGAGGAACTGGCTAAAAAGCAGTAATATTCTTACAGTCACTGAGCACTTATTACATCTAAGAAATACTTGTTGACAAAACAAATCTGCAGGAAGTCTTAATAGTATACAAAGAGGTATACAGTCTAGAAGACTTTGACTATATCATTAACAATTACCTACAGAGAAGGGAAAAGTGTACTATTAAAAAGTGTACTATTAAACACAAACCCATTTAATAAAATGATTTGTGGACAACCAATTTACCTTTCTAATATCAGATGATTTAATTACTTTGCAGTCCCTACCTACATACTAGCAGAATAAAAAAACAACATTAAAGATTTGTTCTGGCTAATCAGAAAAATGGATATTTATACATCTCATAAACATAGGATATTCTACCTATGTTTACATTTTTACTACATGAAATATGTTTATTTGAGGTATAATTTCTGCTTTAAAATCTAGTTCTCATGCACCACTGTCAGCTTTTAGAAGGATATAATGGGAATAAGCAACCAAATTCTTGATTGTAAGAAATGCTTTTATGTCACAATTACAAACCATGCAAAAAAAACCCCAAAAAACTGCACTCTTATCTGTACTGTCTATACTTTATACAATACACATGTGCTTTTCATTCTTAATAGAGCACTGCTTTAGTAATTCTACCCCTGGAAGAAAACTTTGAGAAAAGGCACTTCTTGTTTAACTACAGAATGGAATATTCTTGGCAAAAATCTTGAATGTGAAAATGAGGCCACAAAAGTGACCTTAAAAGGTCTCCTAAAACCTACATGAGGATAGATTCCCAACATAGAACATTATTTACAAAACAATACTGAAGGCTGGGATACATACCTGGTCTACGTGGGGTGGGTGGAGGTGGCCGTGAAGGTCTTGGAGGTCTAGAGGGCTTAAAACCACCATTTGAGAGCGATGGAGAATTGTTCCCATTGACCTTCCTATTTTCACCAGATCCTGTATCCTCAGGATCATCTGATCCATTTGTGCTCACTCTGGGTAAGAAGGAGGTTGGAAAGGGAAGGAAGAGGAAAGAGAACAAACTGTACTTTTAGTTGAAGGAAAATAAAATCACAATAGCAGGGAGGCCAAAATTAATGTTTTAGGAGATGAAAAAATTTTCTTGGGTAGAGGTATGGCTCAACTGGTAGAGTTTCTGCCTAGCAAGTATGAAGCCCTTAGTTCAAACCAGTACTGCAAAACAAAACAAGAAAACCAGAGAGAGAAAAGCTTCCTAATTTCAGGCCAGTCTTATCAAATACATACAGTTCTTGGGTAAAGACTTACATAACCTCCCACAGCTCATCTAGACATAGAGTGAGGGGTTACCCAAGGGTACAGAAACACTTGAAATCAATTAAAAAAAAAAAAAAAAAGAATTCAAATCTTCAGAAGTCCTATTTAAGCAAAATCAAGTTCTCAAAATGTCTTATCACAAAAACATAGGTAAGTTTATCAACGTTATTTTTTGTTTCTATTGGCTATTAATATTAATTCAAGTTTGAGGCTGGCTGTCTTACACCAGGAGAAAGAGGGTACCCACAGATCTTTTCAAAAAGGAGCTGCCATTCCTTCAAAGTAAGATCAACAAAATGGAAGCAGGAAGGACACTAAAAGGAAAAAATGTCAGGTTGAAAGCTGTTATTACTGTCATGGTTAGAAATCAGACACGAATAGCCAGTTTCTAGATTATATTTTCCTGCAATTTCTGTATTACAATGTTTTTGTTTATTTTTAATAAAAAGTATGTGTAACCTTTTTTTTGGGAGACAGTTTTGCTATGTAGCCCAGACTGGCCTCAAACGTGCAATTTTCCTGCCTGAGCCTCCGGAGTGCTGAGATTATAGGTGTGCCTAACTAATTTGATATTTTTATATTTACACTAAGGGATAAAATTATGTTCCCTAAAAGTCCGTTAAGGCCTATAAACTCAAAGTGTGGTCTTTCAACTAAAAGTACAGGTGCTACATAGAGCTTGTGAAAAACATACAATCTTGGGCTGGTGAAGTGGCTCAAGTAGCAGAGTATCTGCCTAGCAAGTGTGAGGCCCTGTACTGCAAAAAAAAAAAAAGTAAAATCTGGGAACCCATTCCAGACCTACTATATCAGAACTAGCGTTCTAATAAAATCCCCAGATGATATATATGGAAAGCACTGCTTGGAGTTTCTTAAAATTCTTATTTTGATTAAAGGAAATAGATCAGTAAACTGGTGGTCAACACCTGAAGGCCAAGCTACCCAGAAAATGTACACAATAATGTAGGGAGAATCAGCTTTGACACTACTTCCCTTTCCTTAAGTGAGGTCCCAAACCCATTTTGAGTCACACACCCCTGAGTCTCACGATATTGCCTTTCCACATTATTTAAGAGATTACTAATTAGTCTGAAAGCAGGGTTCTTTTTTTTTTTTTAACAGACATCAGGTAAAATGGACCAAAAGTGGAAAACTGAGGTATCTAACTCTGACTCTACTACTAACAAGTTATGTGACGAAAGAAAAGTTACTTAACCTCTCTGTATCTATCTCAAAATTATCTTTACTATGTGACTCCTAAAAAAAAAAAAATGTAAGCCACAAAATTCAGACTAAAATTGCACACCCAGCGCTACAGAAGTTGTCAGGATATATGAAGAAGAAATGTTCATGGCATGAGGCAAATCTGTTATGATAAGGGTAAAACAGAAAATGTATTTTAAAAATGCTATGTTTTGCTGTTGGAGATAAAAATTAGGAGATTTTTGGGCTGGGTGCATGGCCCAACTGGTGGGACGCTGGCCTAGCAATCCTGAGGCCCTGAATGCAAGCCAGGGAACCACAAAAAAAAAAAAAAAAAAAAAAAGGGTATGGGCCCACAACATTTTAATATCCATCCATCCTGTCATGCTTGTAACAACATCTCAGTCTCTGTTTCTCAATGTACTTATTTATCTGACAACCTAGGAACAGGAAGTTATAGTTAGAGGGATTTTAGTATTCAACATCTAGGAAAAAGAGCAATTTCCTTGCCACTTAGAATTTTTCCTCTTCCTAGATCTTGAGTAACTAAAATCCCTCTAACTCCCTATTTCCCCTATGTGCCTCCCATTGTATTTTATTCATCTCATGACCTTCAATCTTCCCCTGCCTTTACAGTCCCTCAGTTCCCTTCGTTAAACTTCATCATAGAACTTATCAACTTTAATTCCTTCAACCCTGCCTAGCTATCTCCCCTCCCCTCCCAATCCTTTCACTACAACTACTTCTTCATCTACATTTTCCACTACTGTTCTGTACAATCAACAAGTAATGCTGAAGAATGTTCCAATTGAGAAGTCTAGTGTATTTTAGTGGCTAAAGTGAATAGTATATCGAAGAGGGAAGACTGTTCTACAAAAGGTTCTGATAGATTCTCCACTGTATCCAGTAAGAAACAGTTTTAAGATTTTCACTTTCAATGACTCGCAAGGTAAGTCTTTCTCTCTAATCCTTGTTGAAAAGAACAAATCATAGCTCAAGTCTCCTGGGAAAACTAGGGAATTCGAATAGATTATACAAACCTAGTAGTAACACCACAGGCTCAATGGGATCCATCTACTGATTCGCTAGGAAAAAGGCGCTCTTGGGCTACAGGAGTGGCAGCGTGCCTGTCTAGCAAGTGTGAGGTCCTGAGTTCAAACCCCAGTACCACCCCCAAAGAAAAAAAATTATTAAGCCAGGCACTGGTAGCTCACATCTGCAATCCTAACTACTTAAAATGAAGAGACAAGGAGGAATGAGGTTCAAACCCAGACCCAGGTGAATAGTTTGAGAGACCCTATCTTGAAAATCCCAACACAAGACAGAGCTGGTGGAGTGGCTCAAGTGGTAAAGCACCTGCTTAGCAAGAGTGAGGCCCAGAGCTCAAACAAACCCAGCACCACAAAAAAACAACAGAAAAAAAACAAAACAAAGTTCTTACTATATAATTATACAGAACCAGCAAAAAAGGGAAAAAATTAAAATTGTGCTTCTTCAGATTTATCTTTCGGTAAGGAATTACTTAACTTCCTAAGGCCTGATTATATCAAAGACATTAAGGCAACATGGGATACATCTGACATTATTCAACACCTTCACTTGGATTATAACAATGCTTGGAAACCAATCCCTTCACATCTTTAATTCACTCCTGACCACATCCCAATGCCCACTGAAAACCTTTTCTATCTCCTCAAATACCTAATCCCCATCTATAGATGGTCCTGATTCATTCTTTCAAAAAATGATGATCTACTATCCCTCAACTTCCTTAGCATTTTTCTGTGCTACTATTTCCATCTGTTTCTCAGGTGGAGGAGGGGGAGGACAAAACTCATCATTTCTTCCATGCTGATTTCTATCTGTGCCCTTGATCAAAGCCTTTTTGCTCTTAGAATTTCTATCATTGCATATTCTTCTTATATTTTCATTATATCCTTCTAGAGCCTTCCTTTTGGTTCATAAATAAAATCAAATTCTCAACCTAAAATGCCTTCTCAGTCTTAAGTGCTCCTCAAGCTCTTTTCTGATGTTCCTTTTCTTCTTTATACTTTGTGCATTTGTGAAATCCATACAATTACTGAATTTCAGTTTTTATTTCCCCACTGTTAAGAGATTAAACTGAGGACAAGTATTCTATCACTGAGTTACACCCCCCCTGCCCTGTATTTACATCTTTAAAAAGATTTTCAAAGAGAAAATACAACTTGTAAAATAAAAATTAACTGTAATCCCACATTGCAGATAAAGTTAAAATTAAGAAAAGGGTATATCTCTTGCCAGCCTTTTATACTGGAAATGACTATGATCAAAGAATGAATAATGGTTTCATACCTTGGGTGGGTTTCTGTTAATTCTGTTATACATACTGGGCATTTCTCTCAAATTTCGAAAACACTGTGAATGACGCTGACTATCCTAACATTTTCTTTTCATTGGGCTTTTTCTGTATATTTTAAAGGTTAAAATGCTGACTGCTAAATTATATAAAAAATATTTTAAAGATCATAATTGACCTATTCTTCCATTTCATCATAACATGTTAAAACCTTTGCAAATTTGGTAAATAAAATGCTAAGCCATTTGAGTTCCTTCTTCCATAAATTGTATGTATGTCTTTATACATTTTTCTATTTTAAGAGAACAATTTTTGCTCACTTCAGCAGCACATACAATAAAATTTGAATACAGAGAAGATTAGCATGGCCCTGTGCAAGGATGCATGCAAATTGTGAAATAAAGAGGGCGAGAGAGAGACTTGTTTTCCTTATTCATAAGAGCTCTTAACAATCTGAGGATACTCACCTATCATATTGGTTTAAATAGTTCCTTTGCGTTCCCCACAAACACACACACATATACCCCGCCCGTAGTATAGGTGACAGGTGCTTGAACTCTCTTTTATGTTGTTTTTGGCCATACTGAAGTTTAAACTTTTGATTTTTATTTTGTCTTTGAGACAGGGCCTTCCTACCTTAGCCCAGGCTGGCTTTAAACTCAAGCTGGATCCTCCTGCCCTGACTAAATAGCTGGGATACATGCATGCATCACCATGTCTGCCTAGTTCCTTTCCTTTTAGTTATATTTTAAATACATAAGAGTTTTATATTTTCATATAATTAAATTTATTCAGCAATGAATTAACTGTATTTTCTTCTAAGACCTTATAGATTCATTTTTAAAACATCAATTTAAAAGCCAACTTGGAATCTACTCTGGTCTTGGGATAAACTAGCCTGACTTTTTTTTTCCAAATTGCCAGTTTTCACAAGCTTATTAATCTAAGACCACAATATCTTCTGTAGCATTTGACAATATTAAATGTTCAATCTTTTCTTCTTTTTTAAAGACAGGGCCCTGCTACTACGTAACCCAAGCTGGCCTTGAAATGGAGATCTCCCTGCCTCCACCCGAATGTGCTAGGATTACAGATGTGTGCCGTCACACCTGGTATTACCTCATCTTTTAAAAACATTTTGCACTCCCAACTTCTACT